CGCTTGAAATCACGCTTTGATAAGCATTATTACGCTTTGATGCGATTATGACGCTTTATATCAGGCTCTGATACGATTGCCAAGCTCTGTTGTGCATTGTTACGCTCTGTTAAGCTTTGTCACGCATTGGAAAATGTCGAGATCGCCGATTTCATGCCGCTTTTGATCAAATGACTATATACGATTCAGTAGATCCATAAAACCATTGCATCTTTGACTCGAGAACACGATGGCAGAACAACAAGATCCAGAAATTCCAGATGGACTAGAGCATGACCTATCTGAAGACATGATGTTTGTCGCACGGCGTGATATAGCGTGTGGAAACCTGTCAAGCGTAGCAAAGCCTAGCAAAGCGTTTCAATCCTTGATTAAAGCGTCTCAATTCGTTGGAAAGCTTGAGAGTCCTTCATGAAAGTGTAACAAAGAGTGTCAGATATTGATGAAAGCGTCTGACCTCGTGTCAGATCTTCATGCCAGATCGTAGCAAATCTTGACACATCTTAACGAAGCGTGTCAAGTGGTAACAGACCGTGAAGAGACTGGGGTCCCCGCTTTGAACCAAGCTCTATTAAGCTTTCTTACGCTTTGGGTCAAGCTTTGTTGAGCTTTGTTACGGTTTGTTAAGCTTTGATACGCTCTCGGCGCTTTTATCAATTCATAACAGAGCGCACCAAATTTTTAAACAGTTTAAACATTTTTGGCGTTCTTGCCGATTATCCCGCTTTACTCCGAGCTTTTCTACGACCTATTATGACCCAGACGCTTTAATCAAGCTTTGTTACGCTTTGGTGCCGCTTTACAAGCCGCTTTAAAGCGCCAACAAAGCGCCGTTGGTGCGAACGTAGCTTGAACAGTTTAAATTTTTAGTGCTCTTGCCGAATATCCCGCTTTACTCCGAGCCTTTCTACTACCTATTACGACCCCGACGCTTTAATCAAACTTTGTTACGCTTTGGTGCCGCTTTACAAGCCGCTTTAAAGCGCCATCAAAGCGCCGTTGGTGCGAACGTAGCTTGAACAGTTTAAATTTTTAGTGCTCTTGCCGAATATCCCGCTTTACTCCGAGCCTTTCTACTACCTATTACGACCCCGACGCTTTAATCAAACTTTGTTACGCTTTGGTGCCGCTTTACAAGCCGCTTTAAAGCGCCATCAAAGTGCCGTTGGTGTGAACTTAGCTTAATAATTGGCTATACTACAATGACCATTGTATATGACGCCCCTTGGCATTACAGACCTGCAAAGATCCTCGAAAGAAAAGGCTCAAAATACACCATTTTAAGCTGTTGATTTTCTTTTAAAGCTGGGATTTCAGAAATGAAACTTTAAAAAAGCATCCCCTGGATTTTTCAAAATCAACTTGTTTCCATGGCAACTAAATTTACTACTGTTAACATGTTCTACGCGTATTTCTGTTATTAAGTATGTCTCTGGCATTTTTTATCTGATTTTGATAATAAAAGAAATGCAACTTATGAGGGAAACAAGAATTATTACCACCTTGCCGGGCTTGTTCAGTTTAGATAGCTTATATTTCACTGTGTTACATATACCTAGGGAAGCATTTGTATGGAAGTCAATGGAAAAGTTAGCGGGCTACATGTATATCCATCGATATTGCCCTTTGAATTGAAATGAAGTTGTTGGTATATATAGAGGTTATTTAATGGTCAATATGATCTTTTCCTTGGCCAATATCATATTTTCCCTCAATAACCTATTTATTCTATAATAATTTTCTAAAACTTATTTATTTTTAATTTTTGTATGTCATCACCCAATGATTGTGAAATAAAATGATAAAATGTATCATATCATATTTTAATATAAATGATTAAAGAGAGAATCAGATATAGCGAGCAGGCTAAACAAAAAATTCTTTCAATTTTAGAATATTTTTGGTTCGTGTCATTCCTTGCAATGTCTATTTTCTAAAAATCACAAAAGTGCATACTTTATTCCAGGAAAACTAAAGATTTTTACAATAATGTATTATTTTTATATAAGAATGGTTTCTTATTATTTAGGAGAATTTAAACATTTTTCACCCATTTTTGCACTTTGAATCATTAATAACTTCACCAATTTGTGACATTTTGTGAATCTTCTTGGAGATATTGTATTTGATATTGTAAGGAATAGATTGGTAGGCAATTATACATGTTGCTTGTAATTTTGTCACCCGCAAAAAGTCAGATTCTGCCTTTAATAACCCTAAGAGAAATTACCAGTAGTAGTTCTGATACGAGATTCTGGTTGATACGGGATCTGATACGGGATTTTTTGAATATCAATTTTATTCCCTGTTATTTTCCCGGGGAGTGTCAATATAATATTTACCGAGGTCAATGTCATATTTCCCGTGGAATAAAATTCATATTAAAAAATCAAGCATGAAATAACCTTTTTATTCCATAATAACATGTTTTCCCCGGGAAAATAACAGGGAATAAAATTGATATTCAAAAAATCCCGTATCAGTATAATTTTTGAGAATTCAAGGAAAAAGAAATATGAAAGAAAATTGAAAAATTGAAAATTTTGGGAAAAAATGAAAATCTTTGAAAAAAATGAATAAATGATTCAAAATTGAAATTTTTTTAAATAAATGAAAATCTTTGAAAAATTGCAATTTTTTGAAAAAAATGAAAATTTCTGAAAAAATTGGAAAAATCAAATTTTGGTGAAAAATTGAAAAAATTGGAAAAATGATTTTTTCGAAAAAAATAACTTTTTTGGAAAAAATAGGGACAATATGATTTTTCAAGTATATCATGATTTTTCGAGTATATATGATTTTTTTTACAGGGACAAATGATTTTTCGAGTATATATGATTTTAAGAGGGATAATTTGATTTGATTTCCCAGGGAAAACAGTAGTATTATGGAATAAAATAAGTAACATAATAAATAAAACATTGAACCGATGATAAAAATAGTTAAAAAGTGTATTTATTTATTTATAGTGATCAGTCTAACAATTCAACAAATATATGTATGAAAATAAGAATAACAATGTTACCCAGGCCACATTGGGCTTATTAATCACTGTTTACAATAGTGAATAAAAATAATACATGATAAATTAATTACGCTATAAATGCATTGCCTTCTTCGAATTCTCTTAATTTTGACAGTCTCACTGGTAACACTGGTGATCCACTCGATTACGCTGGTTACCGAAACGGTTCGTTTTGGTAACAAAATGTCGGAACGTCAAAGGTACAATTTTTCTTTTTCCTTATTTCACGCGTTGTAGGCAGAATCCCCACGACGTTTTTTTCTCACAAACGTGTATCAGTATCATATGTTTTAGAAAATGTACATGTTTGCGAAAAAAATAGCTCAAAAGACAACAGAATCGTCGATTTAATTCTTCACTTAAGTTACATAAACGGTTTGGGTTATAAGTGCAGATCTTAACTGTTTTTCGAAAAACCGTTTATGTAACTTAAGTGAGGAATTAAATCGACGATTCTGTTGTCTTCTGAACTATTTGTTGGCAAATATGTACATTTTCTTAAACATATGATACTGATACACGTTTGTGTTAAAAATGTCTTGGGAATTCTGCCTACAACGCTTGAAATGAGGAAAAGTGAAAAATCGCACCTCCGATGTTCCGACATTTTGTTACCAAAACGAACCGTTTCGGTAACCAGCGTAATCGAGTGGATCACCAGTGTGGTAATCAATTTTGCTACTGTATCTTCATTATTTAAATCTTGAAAATTTACCTGATCGAAGTACATATGTTTTTCTTAGCTTAGATCTTAGCCTTAGATCTACCTGTCTCAATATACAGTCTAAATTGAGCCGCCAGACTTCGCTCAAATTTTTAAAATTCAATGTTATATACTTATCTACTTCATTAGCTTTTAAAAGATTACATAAACACAATTGTGGCTAACACCCCAGTCACATTTCCTACGGCGACCTTGCAGTCTATCATTTCTGCTGCCAGTAACATTTCTACGCTCGCCGTGGAATTTCTGCGCTCTCCTACTTTTGCAGTCACATTTCCCACGGCAGCCGCACAGTGAACTTTAAATTTCTGTTGATAAATAATACTTTTTTCATTTTATTTACATCGGGGCAATTTATTAATGTTATTCATAGTGCTAGGATGTAATATCAAATGAAAAGTGATCGTAAAACATTGACAAATAATGATTCAATCTTGTTGAGCCAGTTGATTTCTACGGGGACCTCAGAAATGAACAAATATTATAACTCTGAGTTATAATTTCTACGGCGACCCTGCGGCTTGTAAAAAACTGGATACGCCGTACGGAGGCCGCAAGGCGACCGTAGTTTTCCTACGCTCGCCGCAGAAATACACTGATTTAATATTGATCTGCGGTCGACGCACGCCCACCGTACGACAAATGTGACTGGGGTGTTAGCCTTTATTGCAACTCCCCATATATAATATAATATACAAATATAGTAAAAATAATAAGTATTTGGTGTAAAATACTGAAAATGGTGTTCAAAACAAGTCACCCAACACCAGCACATTGTCATTTAATACTATATATGGAATTTTCAAGATTAAATCCCGGGGGTTAAACCAACCATTGCCTATTATTACCACCTTGCCGGGCCAGTTCTAGGGGTTTTAGTGCTCGTTTAGAAGGCATTCATTTTACTATATCGACCTGAGCAATTGCTCATAAAAAATAAATAAAATAAATTTATGTGACGTCATAGCGGCGGTCGATATTGCCGGTCAAGAATGCATTTGATGACCGGCAATTTTCCCCGGGAAATTAGATATCGTTCAGAGCGTAAGATTTTCTTGCTGTTTCAGTCCTGGTCATTAATAATACTAATAACGTCATTGTACTATCTTTGATCTAAATCTGACATTGATATGAAAGAAGACTTGCCTTATTACATAATTCCATTTTTAGGCCTCTTATCAGATGATATACTATAACCTCTGAAACTGTCAATGCAATCCATGAACAAATAAAAAAGTTATGACATTATTATCTTTATTTCCTGAACACCCTGTATACTTGGAATGAAGTTGTAATATTACTGTTTAAAACTGATTATTAGAAGAGATCGGGAACAGTTCATAAGAGACAGTTTGAGACACGGGAATGCATACATTGATATAAATCCATGTCTAGTGACATGTTGATATAACACCGTCACCAAACATAAAATATATACGCCATTTAAACATTAATGACAGCATGTGCATCTTATAACATGGCCAGCCACAAAGATATTGCTCAATGGACGTTACTAATCGGTCTTCCATTTTGATCCAAATTGACAACCCGATTTTCTTTTCTTGCAAGTTCAGCTGCAAACACCAGCAAGTGACTTGACAGTGTTTCATCGGGTCCACTCAATATCTTGCTGCGGTCACCAGTCTAAAAGTAGAGTATTATTAATGCTTTAACGGCATCATTTGTCAATGACATAAATGTAATAGACGAATTTGAGATACATGTTGGAGAACACATGGTCATTAACATAAATATTTCTGAAGTGTATCACTTCAAGAAGGACAAATTTTCATTGGTCTGTTGTTCGGAAATTGCTATACTGTACAGCAAAATGGCGGAATGAGATTGGGGAAATAATGTCTGAATAGGAGTACAATATCAGAAAAACGTTCGAAAAAATGCCTCCACCTGGTTTCACAAAGATATTGGACATGTGTTTCAAGTTATTTGAGATTATCTCCGACATGCATGCTATATTGCAACAATTAAATTCTATGATATTACATGTAACTATATACTGTATGTCAACATGGTAAAAGCTGTCCTTCAAATTCAAATTTCATAGGAGATTTAAGATGTTATGAAACCATTTTACTTGATTGAGATCTATCTAATCATTCATGCCACCTTGCTATACTGTCTGAAGGCCATGTTTTAAGATGGTGAACCAACACCTCCGAAAGTTCATTTCATTATGTTATCTTGGATACAAAGTCAGCATGTGCCTTTTTGTGCCAAAGATGATATCATTTTCAAAGCAGAAATTTTATGTAACGTGACACGATTGTCACACTTAAAATTTAATTTGCCGCTAAATACTATTTGAAATAAAATAAAAATAGAACTGCGGCTTCAAAAATGAGTTGCTAACATTTAGATTGAGCCCAAATTTTAGCACATCTTTAGTATGCCTGACCTGTATAGCCTCAACAAATGCCTTGATGAGGTGGTAATCTGCACCATCATGACCCGTCATCTTGCTGCCTGATGGGAGATATTCCTCAGCATATAAGGGTGCTGTGAATAACAAGACACAGTGATAAATATCACACTTTTTAATCATAAATTCCAAATGACAAGAGAGCTAGACGTATTTGTTTTCTCGATCTTTGTTTTGAAATCATAGTTGCATCAGGCTATGGAAGAGAGCTGCACTTACTTGTTATCTTTGTGTTGAAATCAAAGTGGTAAACTGGACCATCAAAATCGCAGGTCAACTGCCCCTGGAACACAATAATAACACATTTTATCGTATGATCCATAAAATGAAGCCCTCTGATTGTGCTGTACCAATCTGTATTGCTACTGAGATTGCCCACATTGTTCATCTCCGAAGCAATACGGAAAAGTTGGTACGGAGGGGACAATCTCAGTAGCAATACAGACAATACACAATATTTCTTAGGGATTATCTCCTAAGTAAAATGTATCGGCGTTAGATCACATGACAAAACATTATTGAATGATTTAAAGTGCAATATAGGATATGTTCCGTCTCGATATTCTGTATTGGCGCTCGACTTCGTCTTGTTCCAATATAGAATTTCTCGAGCAGAATATATCCTGTATTGCACTTCAATTTCTTTCAATAACTTATAGTACATATTGATCAAATAGAATAAATATGTGGGACATATTATTATGTTTAAAAATATGTAAAATTTAGACCAGATGTTCTACGTTCCTACAGTAGGCATCAGCCTATAAAATTTTAATCAAATTAAATAACAGATTGACAGATGGCTTTTCTATATCCCGTAAAAATTATATTTGGTGGGATGAAAACTTTTATAGGTTGGAGAAAATAGAATTCTTGGGGAACAGCGAACAAATGGTGTATGTATTCATTTTACCATTGATCCAAATATTTTAGTTGAGCGAACGCAAATCTTCTGAGTACACGCTACCATCGTGAATGAGCAGGTCTGACCCTCCTTGAACTGCAGATTTACGACCTGAAAATATAGAATACATACATATAGTAGAGGCTTGTCCCTAGCAAGCTTTTGCAAATGGAGCAGTTTTTAAAAAAATCTAAGGGTTCAATTTAGACCTGTAACACTTGGAAATGCTGAAAATGGTGCATGTTTTTGAAAGATTTTTGGCCAGGGGAGAGTTTGCTCTTCTCAACAGGACCCCATCACCCCTAAAAGGAAACTATTATAGATCTAAATTCTTCTCCATAAGAGTGGCAACCAGCCCATTCTTGAAGATTTATCAAAACCTGCATCAAATTACTATTGTAATAACTCAGATGTGAGTAGCTACATAGTTACCAGTTTCACCACCAGGTGGCTCATTTGGGTCAGATAGCACGGGTATAGTAGAAAGTTCCCCCTAACTTAAATACTAACATAGGATCAATGTGTTCTATAGGACCACATATTTACATATAGAGGAATATATAGACCACATATTTACATATAGAGGAATATATAGACCACATATTTACATATAGAGGAATCTATAGACCACATATTTACATATAGAGGAATCTATAGACCACATATTTACATACATGTATAGAGGAATATATAGACCACATATTTACTTATAGAGGAATATATAGACCACATATTTACATATAGAGGAATATATAGACCACATATTTACATATAGGACAACTGGCTGTAGCAAACCGTAACTAGGATTACAATGTAATGATAGTAACATAGTAACATTACTAACATAAGACCACCTTATAAATACACTGATCCATCAATATGTACCTGTAGGCTAACTATACTAATACAATACCTACCTGTTGAGACATGACATCATTATCACAATCATAGACACATCTTCCATATGGACCTGTCTCTAGCTTTTGTTGCACATCCTTCACTATATCCTCCAAGTCTTTCGTCGATTCTACATTTTCATATCCTTCAGTAACAACACTTACTGGCCATCCTAGGTTACCCTGAAAGATTTTAAGATTATTTTATTATGTGTTCATCATATTTAAAATACTGTTACGATGCTAGGTCACCTGCGCCTCCGGGTGAGCTGTAGTTAAACAAGCTATATGTACATGTAGATACAGACATGAAAGGGGGTGCGCTAAATTCAATGCCCCATGCTGCAATTGACCTTCTGATTCAAAGACAGATGCTCAATCGCTGAGCCATACGAGCTAGCCACCACTGCTGAGCTAAGCTGAAATAGCAATTAGCTATCCAGGGTTGTTACAATCCATTATCTAGATATACATTTCATACTAAACAGCATTCCCAGAAATTTCAGATCAATCCTATAAACGGTTTGGGTGAATATGTCTAGATACAAGACTTTACAGAAAATTTTCTGGATAGAAAATCCAAAATGGCTGCATTAACATTTACTGTACCCGAAATCTACTAACCACTTCTAGTCTTTCATACTTAGGATTATCCCTAAAATCTTAAATCTCTGAAGATCTAAAATCAATCCCTCATTCAATTTGCATGAAAATGTGTAAACCAAATAAATCAGGACACCCACCTGGAAAACTGATAACAATATAGCACCCAATGGTGCAATAAAAATAAGAATGCAGATAGTCAACAACATACAATGGAATGATATGATACACGTTTTTGACTTAATGTATTTTTCTAATGTTGCCCTTCGTGCATTTTCACTTTGATATAACATAAAAACACCAAGTGGTGGGGACATAACTCCACATAACCAACCTGTTTAGCCCTCTCGAGGTAAAGTGCTTTCGCAGAATATGGACATTTGTCTTCTATGCTACAGTCAACACATCTGCTACCTGCTCCTTCAGGCTGAAAATACATTTAGAATAAACATAATTGTTAGGAAAACTCATTTACAACGAATTATCATCAGCTACATGAAAAATATTGTATCCTCATTCTCTTTCTTCTCTGTATGACTATGAATCAGAAATGCATACGGTTCATGGATAATGAAATCTGAACACATTTCTAATCCGAACACCTCTCAGCGTGAACACTTTTCTCCAGTTTTGGTATCTCCCATAGACTCGACTTATGTTAAGAAAATCTTGAAATGGAAACACCTGCTTATCTGAACAATTTTGGCCAATCCCAGTGGTGCTCTGTTTCGACAGGTTTTACAGTACAGTACCTTGTTTTCTTTCGTGAAGTGTGATAGACTTCCGAATGAGGACACTTTATCGACGTACGTATGTGACATCCAGTAGTTGATTAGGTCAATGTCATGGCAAGATTTGGCTAAAAGACTACAACTGCTACAAGCTTCATTGCGCCAGTTTCCCCTTACGAATGAATGGGCAAAATGCCAATAACCAACCTATAAAAGTAGCCATTGGTCAAAAATACATACAATAGATGTACCTTGTTTTCCTTTTTAAAGTGTGATAGACTTCCGAATGAGGTAACTTTATCGACATAAGTATGCGACATCCAGTAGTTGATGAGGTCAATGTCGTGGCATGATTTGGCTAAAAGACTACTACTGCTTAAAGCTTCATTGCGCCAGTTTCCTCTTACATAAGAGTGAGCATAATGCCAATATCCAACCTATAAAAGTAACCTTTGATCATTTAAAAATGCAGTGCTTATTTCAAGTGGGCTGGAATCTTTCAAGATCTCACACAGGAAGTGATGTAATCAGCTATGAAGTTTGCATATAGCAGCATAAGGCAAAAAGGTATGTAACAAGCACAAACCAGCTTAGTATTTTTTCAAATATGAGAATGATTTAATTCTGAAGAAACTCTCTTTTATTTACTTGAAGTTTAAAAAGTGAGGACCATTTACATATACTCTTTTAGGACCATTTACTTTTTTAAGGTTCACAAAAATATTGAATCATAAACCACTTGTTAGCAAGATCATACAGTTTTAATGCTAATGTAGTTGTACATAAATCCAAATGGAAACACTGGTACTTAACTTATCCAAATATTAAGTAATTTTGCATTAGGCAAGAAGGTACCTTACATGTAAGAAGCACAAACCAGCTTAATATTTTTTTAAATATGTATAACATGACAAAATGTCACCATTTATTTGCTCAATCTTAATCTTGCAACAAATCTTTTTTGACCTTCAGAAAGCCATTTAAGTCAAATCTATAGTCAGATTTGAACTTTTGAGAACTTGTAGATGTTTTTGAAAAAACAATGGTCAATTTGAAGCAAGTTGAAAAAAGACTTTCTTGACCTTTTTTGACCTTGAGAAGGTCATTGAAGGTGAAATCTCAAATCTAAAGTCAGAATTGAACTTCTTAGAACTTGTAGATGTTTGTGAAAAAATTGGTCAATTTGAGGGAAGTTGAAAAAAGGCATTTTTGACCCTTTTGACCTTGAGAAGGTCAAATCTTACATATAAAGTCAGATTTGAATATCTGAAAGCTTGTAGATGATTTTGAAAAAATTGACGTCACCTTTGAAGTCACTAGTCACTATTATGTCACCACCTTTTGGTGGTTACATAATAGTTACATGCCAATGGAATTTTACATAAATCCAAATGGAAATTCTCGTACTTAACAAATAAAAAAATTAAGTAATTTTTGTCAGTTCTCTATATATTATGAATAGTATTCTGGACCAGCCAATACATGTGCTACCATCTATTTATCCATCGCTACATATATATGAAACAAACGGTCCATACTCTCAAGGTAAGTTTGAGCTACCCCCTATACTATTATGGGCAAGTTTACAAAAGTTTATAGTCTTAAATCTTCTTATCTGTAATTCAAAGAATACAGATGCTATCTTCTCAAGAAATGACCAGAAATCGGTATTAAGACATCATGGGAAAAAAACGATGGCGCTAAGAGACTTACATGTAAAGAAGAAAAATCAAATTATTCAAAAGGGTTTAAATGTGGCAATTACATGCATTCATAAAATTGTATAATAAATGTCCAAATACTTACAGGTTCAATATGTTGTATATTCATAACATCCCCAATGACACCACTAGCAATGAGCTCTTTTATCTTACGGGCCTGTGGAGCGTATCTGAGAACATGACACACAGCTAATATGACATCATTCTCTTTGCAGGCTGACACTATCTCTTCACACTCAGAAGCTGACACCTACATGAATAATTTAATCATTATAATACAGTCTCTAATACAAGCCAGAAAGGTTATTAGGATTGTAACTGAACTGTCTTTTATAAATACTGTATAAGTGGTACTTATCAGAGTGGTTAATTTGCCGAATGCTCAAATTTTATAATTTTCCTAATGACAAGAAACTTCCCATTGGATAACATTTAACTTGAAGATAATATTTCCGACATTTAATTTTCCAAACCTGGCAAAGGTTAGGCAATTGGCAAATTAAATTACTAGGCAAAAGTACCCGATATACAGTAAGCTCACATCTTAGCACGCCCCCGGTGTGTACGCAGTACCAAATACCATGTAGTGTATGAAAATGAAATAAGGATAACAATGTATACTTCAAATGATCAATATCTTATTCTGTTAACTCAAACACACAAAAATTTAGCACTTATACTGTCATCTATATTCTTTTAAAAAATTTAATGTATACAGTAAGACCTGTTGGATGGAACATCTCTCTGTAAAGAATACCATATTTCAAATGGAATAATTTTCAAGAGAACCAAGTTCCATAGACTTACATGTAAATAAACCCTCTCTGCAAGGAACACTTTTAACAAGGGCAGATAGAGGTGTTTACTGTATTTTAACATTAACATTGAATAAATTGAAAGTACAGACAGTGTTCCATATACACCAAATTTACTGTATTTTAACATTAACATTGAATGAATTGAAAGTACAGATGGTATTCCATATACACAGATTTTACTGTATTTTAACATTAACATTGAATGAATTGAAAGTACAGATGGTATTCCATATACACCGAATTTACTGTATTTTAACATTAACATTGAATGAATTGAAAGTACAGATGGTTTTTCATATACACAGATTTTACTGTATTTTAGCATTTCCTTTTTTGATCCCCCCCCCCCCCTATATTTTGTCCCAATCCCCAAAGGATCTTATTGATGAATACCCTGACCAAACTTACCCCCATAGGTTTTTCTAACAGTAGATTGTATTTCTGATTGGCAAATGCCACTGCTGCTTCCTGAAAAAATATCAGGTATACATGTAGTGTAAATCAGTGAAAGTTTAAGTCAATTATATCACTAATAGTGTAAGGCAGTGAAAGTTTATTTCAATCATATCACTTATAGTGTAAGGCAGTGAAAGTTTAGGTCAATCATATCATTTATCGTGAAAGGCAGTAAAAATTAAAGCCAAATTTAAATCAAATAATCACTTATAGTGTAAGGCAGTGAAAATTCAAGTCAGTTATATCACTTATAGTGTAAGGCAGTGAAATTTTAAGTCAATCATATCATTTATAGTGAAAGGCGGTAAAATTTAAAGTCGACTTAAATCAAATAATCACTGATAGTGTAAGGCAGTGAAGATTCAAGTCAGTTATATCACTTAAAGTGTAAGGGAGTGAAATTTTAAGTCTATTATATATAACGGCAGTAAGCATTGAAGTCAATTATATCACTTATAGTGTAAAGCAGTAAATATTTAAGTCAATCATATCAATAATAGTTTAAGGCAGTGAAAATTTAAGTCAATTATTTCACTCATAGTGTAAGGCAGTTGAATCAAACATATCAATTATAGTGTTACACACAGGCAGTGAAATCTAAGTCAATTATATCTCTTAAAGTGTAAGGCAGTGAAAGTTGAAGTCAATTACCGGATTTTCTCGCATATAAGCCCTGGGCGTATAACTGAAAGAAGGGGTAATTTCGTCTGTTATTTTACCTCTTATTTTTCGCCCATGGGCGTATAAGTGTACTACTTTCGATTTTTGGCCCAGTGGGCGTAAAGGTGAGAAGAGCTGATGAATACAATGGTTTAGTTCTGGTAGGTGCTGGTAAGATTTTTGACGGTTGCGAGCCACCGCGGGGTGGGCATCAGCCATCTTCCTCAAAGACTACCGTACCTACTGTTGTAGTCCTACCGCATGTTTTGTAAGAATTATAAAGGAAATGTCACCTACAACCTTGGACTTAATGTTGAAACAAAGTAACAACAGAACAATCCAACACTGCCACTTACGGCACAGCGTTGAACTTAATGTTGAAACAAAGTAACGACAGAATGACAGTGACAAAATACTCTTGAATTTATTGAAAAAAATCAATAAATAGTCATTTTTTATAGGCCCATGGGCGTATACGCGTACTACATTCGATTTTTGGCCCATGGGCCTAAATTTAGGGGGGCGTATATGCGAGAAAATCCGGTACATCACTTATAGAGTAAGGCAGTGAAATTTTAAGTCAATCAAACCTAAAATAAGCAATCCAGGGTATGTATTGTAATATTACATGAAAAAACATATTCATATTTTACATGCAAAACTTAATTGTCAAACTGGAAAAGACAGTCAAATTGCAAAAGTAAACTTTATTGAAATTGCTGTAAATATTGCAGTGATGGTCCAAAAGGTACCTGGCTTTTAATGACATATATAAACAAAAATATTGAAAAACATTCAACAATGTGTCCGGAAATCTCAATAAGCATATGTTTTGGGTTGTGACAAGTAGCACCAATTCAAATAAACATACATAAATACTTACTTTGTGCAGCCGATCTTGCATAGTAATTATTGCCACATCGGAACATTTCTTCAGTTTTATCGCTTCCCTCCAATCTATTAAAATAAATAAATAAATAGACACACTGTGAACAAAAAAAAAACTAAGCTGGTGTACATGTATGTATGATTACACAAGGCATTAACATGCAAAATGTCACCACCTGCCATTTTTACAGATACCAATTGGCAAACACTGAATGCCAAACATCATCACCAAATACCATCCACAAAAAGTTGGAGACCGTAACAATATATATAAACTTATGATGGTGACATACTAGTAAAAACTCAATTTACCATATTACACCCATATTACATGAGGATAGAAAATATGACCAAGTTCATTTGATAATTTCGAAAATTTGAAAATTTGAGAAATTTGCTACCGAGACGAAATGTTTTGTGCCACATCATTATTTACCTTAACGGTACCCCTAACATTCTAAACTGATACCTGTAGCAGTTTTGATGAAAATGTTTGTACAGACAGTTAGACAGATAGATGAATCAGCCACAGCTGTCACATCCTACAATATTGCTACATGTACATACTGTGTAAATCTAAATCAATATATGTATGTAAATCTTCAATAGTTACCCTTGAAAACCATATCATCAGGAATTTCATAGAACTTTTTGAACAAATTACGAGGTCTCTCTCTTGGTTCAGCCACACCAATAATCTAGAATAAACTATCAGCAATTAGATTGGTTTACATTTTTCCAACAAAATATCTGGTTTTGGTTTTTTCATGGGCTTTCAATTAGAGTTGAAAGCCCATGGTTTTTTGGAACATAAAAAATGAAAATATCATGAAATACTCATCATCATTCCCAAACCATGGTGGTTTGAAAACCCATGCTAGTTTCAAATATTCTCTAGCGTAGCCAGGATGAGGCAGACGAGGCACTAACCTCATCGCTTTTTTAACATTCTTTGAGAAATATTCGTCTATCAATGTTGAGTTGTAATTTAATTGTATGTTTTTTATCAATTTTTGATTCAATTGTGCATAATCTCATAGTGTTAAAGGTTATCTATCACAAGGGCTTTTAACTAGATTCCAACTGATTGAAAGCCCATGGTTATCATCATATTCTTCTATTGCCATCATAATTTACATTTGTATTTTTGTCTGAGTTTCTATGGAAATGTTGTAGTCAAGCTAGGATGAGGCACACGAAGCAGTGGCGGATCCGAGCGGGGCCCAAGGGGCCATGCCCCCCCCCCCCACCCCACCCCTCCCTTTTAGTGGGGTCAATTGTTTTTAAATTTTTGGGCCCAAAAGTCTGAGTAAGGCCTCAAAAACGGGCCTTTTTGGGCATAATTTAGCCTACATACGCCTTTTTTGGCCAATTTATCAAAATGGGCCTCAATTTTTCCTTTTGGTTTTAGGGGCCCAAAATTTTTTTCCAAGCAAGCGCGGAAAATTTTTTCCAGACTAAAAATTTGGGCCCCCCCTTGTTAATTTCTGGATCCGCCACTGCGAAGCACTTACATCATCAGTTTTTGAAGATGTTTGGAAATATGTGTATCTTTCACGTTGTCACTTTTTTCTCCGTGGCTATGCCACTGGTATTGCTTAGATACATATCTCCTAAAGTTAGTATATTTTAAATTTTGTATACTCTCATCCACGACTGATGTAAAGTGGCCTCTTGAAAATTCTCTTATTTCAACATGAGATTGAAAAATCCCCGGGAAAAATCCTCACTCCAGCAAATCCATGTTTGAGGCAGATGGCCTATGTGCATCCCTACATGCTATTAACTAGACTCTAAACCATCAACTTCCAGTTACACCAAAGTATAAATGTGAATGCCAATGAATAATAAAAAGTACCTCAAAGTCTGGGCATTCTTTAGAATAAATCGCGTAGTTGTTGCCACGGTTACCTGCTCCTATAACAATTGCAGTCACTTTCTTCATATCGCCGTCTATGCTCTCGCCTTCGTGTATGACTACGTGTGCTACTAAGGCTAAAACATGTAAAATATGTTATATGACTCGTGTTTGTTTTTTATATTTTCAAGAACAGCTAATAGAGACATGTTAACTCGATATAGCGAAAAGACTACTCGCAGGTCCTTTTCCCCTGGAAGGTCTCGAATCGGTATCTATGTGTCATACAATTGATATTTGAACCAAAACTATTATTCGAACTTATGATCAGACATAAGTATGATGTGTTCTTCAAGGTAATAAAGTAATCTAATTGGACTGTATCTAATTCTACTGTATAATCACGGGTGACCAAAGTAGAGCTTATCCAGAAGTGGGATATTTCCAGTATCTATGACGCATAATGTCATACAGGTATCATATCGGGTGTCCAAAAAATGAAAAAAATAGCCTAAGAGTATTCTTAGCAAGTTGTAAAAATATAAAAAAGATCAAATAAATATTCTATGAGTACCATAGGCCAAGGGTAAAGTAATAGTAAGCCGAATATAGAAGAGACAGGTGAACAACTCTGACTTAGACCACTTGTTAAGATGGAGATTTCAACAATATTTAGTGTATTATTTTCAAAAAGCCATGGGGAGTTGATAGAAAATTGATAGTTTGTAGCTCTTACCTAAGATTGAAACTCAGTCAGATGATATAGAGTGAATAATGCTGTCTAAAAGAGAGAATTTCTGAAAACCTGCAATTGCTTGGCAAGTTCATTAGTAAACAAGTGATCTGATTGGTCACTGCTGACCTCCCTGACCTCCATCAGTGACAATCAGTTTCAGCTTGCCAGGCAATTGCAGATATCCATAGTTGTTGTTTTATATGCAGTATTATATGCAGTTATTAGATAAAGATTTGAAAAAAACAATGATATAAGTTTGAAAAACACTTTGAAGAAGATTTTGAAGAGATTTGGGAATACAATTTGATACCAGTAAGGAGAACTAGTGCCAAGACTAAAAAAATTTGAAAAATTTTCAATCTTACTTGTGGACCTGTCTCTTCTATATACAGCTTACTATTACTTTTCCCTTGGCCTATGATGAGTACTACATGTAAGAAATTTAAAACAGCATGTCAAAAATGTTGGTCCTGTATTGTTTCATATTCCCTGATTTCGAATTTTCTTGTAATTCAAACTCTTCAGATACAGTTGTGACCTCACAACTTTTTTAAATATTTTCAAAGTTTATATGCATATAAAAATGAATGGATTGCATGGTTGAAAGAGTTAACTTTTGCCCGATCTATTCAATGGAGGAGATGTGTTGTATTTGATTATCGAAAAATCGAAGTATTCGTTTCTTAAATGGCGGGAAATTCAAATATTTCAAAATTATAAGATGACCAAATTTTTACAAAAAGTTTGGAAAAGTAATACTTGATAACTAAACTATATTTCGAGACTTTGCACAGGGTATTTACTAGTAAAGAATGCTACAGAATTGAAAACAGCATTTTGATGTCTATACCTCGTTTCTGAACTGTAACCAAAATGTAACGTGTTAAATATAAATGATTTGACATGCACTCCGTTGATTGGCGGAGCTTGTCATGACGCAAATCGGCGTTTAAATAATTTATCCGAGTGCATCTTGATCATATATTATTATCTTATTAATAATATTATCTATTAGCGTCAGTTTGATCAAAATGGCGATAACAATTCTGTACCTGTTGTCTTTCAAGTCGAAAAATGATTGTCTGACATTTGAGCTACCATTTCGACCTTGTCTTGGCTGATGAAGAGAGTTCTTTGGATGATTAATGTGCAGCCTTTGTATCTGCCTCCAAGGGCGAAGTAGGAGAGTATGGTAACCTGTCTCCCAGTAAAAATAGAATATGGGAACCTTTCGAAGATTAATAAAGCACCGAAAAATCTTATACTACAGGGTGTCCCGAGAGTATGCCCCCCCCCCCTAGGCAGACATATACCAATGTTTCCCATAGTATGTGTCATCATGGGCCCATGGTGTCATATATCATTTTAAAGCTTATCCAAAGTTACATTGATCGTGTTGCATGATCAAGGAAGATTGACTCCCAGGATCGAAACTCGATATTTTCCCACAACGAAAACATCGATATGTCAGAAAATTGCAAAACATGTCACCTCTGAGTCACTGCACAATCTTACCCCTCTGACTTCTTAGATCCCATTTACTCAATCCTTTGTGTAATTGGTCGCCCCATCTATGTTGGCATCTATGTTTTACATGTATACATATGCATGTAACACTGTACTTGAAAGTAATATTTGGAAGCGGACATAAAATGCCAAAAGCACACTAGTTTAAAAGGGTAGGAGGTCCTATTAATTTATGGTCTCCTACTCTCCATTGATTTATATGATGACCTTTTTCCCTTATTATCTTATACACAAGTAAGGGCCGTAGAAAAAGAGGGGACCATAATCCCTGGGGAACCATAATTTCTTTCACACCGGAACACCATGACAATGGTAAAGTTAGATACCGTTGTCACAAATGGCGGACGTAACCGTCGTTTCAACTCTTAATCACTTGGTTCTCATTTCATGAGACCTAATCGTCGCTGATTCTGTGTATGTATTAAACTCTTGTGATTGTGTATTATATGAAATCCCAATTTCGATCAATATACCGTCTCCCATATCGTCAATGACAACGGAATCTGAATTTCAAAGCATTCACAGAGAAAGGAAAGACGTTGTACTGTCTCATATTTTGATCGGTAAAATTGAAGGCTTTATTTCGATGGCAGAACATATTCAACTATACAATGAGTAGAAAGACACAAAGGAATTTAATCTAGGTGCTATTAAAGATGCAGTTAATGAAAATCGAATCGAATACGAATCCATGGCCGCCATTTTGTGACAACGGTCTCTGACTTTACCGTTGTCAGGGTATTCCTGTGTGAAAACTGAAAAGGCAATTTGCCCCATGATTATTATACATCATGTCATGAGAATCTTGTTTTATCAGGACCTATCGTTTATAAAAACTGTAACATAATCTTGATCTTATTCGAATTGGCTTCAATTATAATTAATTTCTCTTGATCGTAATAGGAATTCTGTCTGGTCCATTATGTGAAATATTTCTTCTGTCATGTTAAACTTGTTTCTCACAATATGAATATATAGTTCATATGACGTACAAACCTTCTTACGAAACTCCTCTTAATACGAAACTTTCAAGTCATCGAGTCCGAAGTGACTTTTCAAGATAAGAAAAGATATGCCATTCGTTTTTATTTTATTTTATTCAAGGTTGATGGTGATAAATGATGTTTTTTCATATTTGGCATCATTGTATTGAAAACTAACTCTCAAGTTTGAAATATAATATTTTTTTACGTTAACCTTCATTGCAATTAATTTCCCGAAGGTGAGCAGATCAGTCGTCTTGTCATGAACTGCTTGCATATTCTGGGTGTCCCGAAAGATTGTACCTAAATGAAACAGGAGTAACTACTGTATATTCTTTCACGTTCACGTGATATAGACAATTCAATATCCACTTAAACTCACTGCAGACTTTTGTGAATTGAGAAATATGACATTTTAGGTGATCTAAATGATTTCCATCTTGATCGATGCAGAGCTGAATGTAGAAAGGTTAAGGCCTCGGTCAGATTAAATCAACATCGTACAGCACTATGCAAAAACTAAATTTCATGCTGCACATTTCTCTCGATTTTTAAAACTATACTATACTGCCGTATAGTTGCCGTAAATCAAATGTGATTGAGGCATCACATCCTTGGCCCAAGAGTAATTCATTGCATTATGAAAGCAGTGAAGGACCGATCTTGAAGGATGGAGGCATCATGCAGCTACACGTTTTTAAGTCGGAGAACTTGTGTACATGCACCTGACCGTGTAATGCTATTACCCGCAGTTGGATTATTGACAGATAAATTGGCTTTTCAGGGAGCTAACTTTTTCCATATACCTTTATACTCAATTGGGGAAGTAAATACTACGAAGGGGAGAACCAATCCCCAGAGGACCATATTATACAAATATTTAATTCTATTGAGGTGAATACCTGTGCATCTTTCACAAGTGATATTCCACGAAGCCCGGTGGGCTAGTGGAATATCATCTTGGTGAAAGTGTCACAGGTATTCACCGAAAATAGAATTAAATATTTGTTTTATTATATCACTGTCATAACATCTTCTATTATTAAATATGTCATATGTTAACATTGAAATACATTAATATTTCTTCTAACAATATACATGTAACAATAAATACAATAAATATCAACTACCAAATTGTAGTATCTTAATTTAAGGTTTCATGTTAACATTATAATTAATTGTAATGTAGATTGTGGATTATTGGTAATTGTGGATTCTATCAATTTCATCTGCAGATATATTTGGAAACCTGTGTTTACCGTCTGCCATTATGGTTTTTATGGGATATATAAAATGAAAATTACACTGAACTAAGTCAACCTGGGGATGTATAAGTCATGACCGTTGAATATCATTTGATATTCACTGGAAGTCACGTGACTTCCGTTGAATATTGCTAGTTATTTTTTAGTCACATGTAGGACATGGACCAATCAGAGAGTGGGGAATATGACAGTGATATAATAAATACATTTATCACACGGCCAAGTGCAAGTTTTTAAAACGTCTAGCTTAACCTCTATGTTAAAATCAAAAATCGCCGGAACATTTCAGATCATCTGCATTATCTTTCGGCATTCAGCATTTTGAATACGTACTGCCAAAATGAATGATTACCTTCGACTGCAAACCCATTACTAAAATGTATAACATATTATAATGTCATTGACAAATTATTTAACGGTTTTTTATATTCATAGGAGGATACACAATTGAGTTATGGGTTTGATTGACATCTCTGTATACAATAGCATCAAAATGTATTAAAATGAATCTGAAATATATAAGCAGTACCTTAGCCGCACATTTTAGATCTTCTCCCTGCTATTCAGCAGAACGCGAGACAACACAAAGAACGTTAGAAGACTAACACGACGCAGTCATGGACTCCAAAAAGAAAACACCACCACCACCAATTGTATTCCAGGTAATCTATGTTGTATTGTGTTATTGTTATTTGTGTTAATGTTATTTGAAATAATTAGACTTATGGATATTAGAAGAATTGATTCGCATGTTTATTATTCCCATTATATGAAGCGTTTAATTACGTCATCGTTTATTTATAATTTGATGACCTATTACATTTTTTGGGGACCCATCCATCCATTTTCATGTATTTTTGCAGTGGCCCAAACGTGTAGCCTTCGAAAAACGTCTTAAATGCGTTTTAAAAAGGCGCCTAAGGTTTTAGCCCGGTGCCGTTGTGTAATACCGATCGGCTTTTGTAAAACGACTTACCCGGGTTTTTGTCATTTGCCCTAAACGAAATAAGATGTATGTAGGATGCTACACATTTGGGCCACCGCAAAAATACAGGAAATGATGGATGGGACCCAAAAATGCAATAGGTCATCAAATTATATCGCAAAAATTTAATAAGTTCACATCACTGGCAAAAGTCTCGGTTATGCTTTCTCTTAGATGCTAAAAAAATACATTTATTGTAGATGTACACATCTGCTGGTTATTCTCCATAACATCGTTTAAAGTGCACGGAAAGCGTTTTATAAATGACATGTGTAACTTCAGAATAAAATTCCTAGGGCGCTTTAGAAATGTTGGTGTAATCAGAACGGCGATTTTGTAAAGCACTCTTCACTAAAGCGCTTTTAGCGTTTTTTCAGGTGTAATTCCAGCAATTAATTAAATAAAATTAAATATAGACCTATATGCGGAAACGTTTCACAAGCTTTTTATTAATATCTAAGTGCTGAACCCCTTCAGTTTCCCCAAGGGAATTTCTTTTAAGATTTTTGGAGATCCATCATTGTGACAAATACAGGCCCGTAGCCAGAGGGGGTTCGAGAGACCCCCCACCCAGACCACCCCGGCCAACAATTATTTCATAATCATGCAGTTTTTACGGCGTAAATTTCAAGTGATTTACCCAAATTCTGTTTTAGGAATACGAGAAGCCTGCAGCCAAGTCAAACGTGAAGTATATCATAGCTGCAGTGACCGTTGTGTTGATTGTGGTTGTCACATTAGGCGCAATTCTTGTAACGTTGAAATTCACAAAAGGCTTTGGTAGCGACACCATTAAGGTAAATAAATCCATTTAAACCCTACTTAGGCACAAATGACGATTGCCAATATTTTATAGTTTCCATCCCCTAAAAACAATATACAACTGTATATGTACCCTTTTCTTGTTACTTTGCATTTTAGAATAAAACAATTTATTAATTATATGTTGCTATCTACTATTGCTCTAAGCTTACCTATAAATATTCTGCTAATATTCAGCCAATACTTATTTTGTTTTCTAGGAATTCGCGCTTGCAAAGAAAACCCTTGTGAAAATAGACGTTCACAATAACATGACAGAGCTTGACGATCAAGAAAAGGGCTACTCTGTGTACAATGACTTTAGCAAGGTAAGAAAAATAAGTTACGTCAATTGTTACATCACGATCGAATACACTCCCTTCCACAATCTTGGCAGCATATCAGCGCCGCTACAAATTGAATGGAAAACAAACTGGTCGATGACACCAGTGAAGTGAAAGTCCTTCATTGAGTCATCACCAGGCGTCTCAGATCATTCGCATTTCGCCCCTTGACGCTTTGACAGCTGGTTTCATTCATTTTTTGTTTTATTTATGAAGACACACAGCGACGTCTTTGTATCTTCAGAACGGTGTCTTTGTGTCAAAAGCGAGGAATAAGAACGGTGAATTTCTTGCTTATTGATGATGCGGGATGAATACTAATAAGATTTTTAAACATAGAGAGTATGCGCTAAATGCACGTATACAATTTTATAGAAACTCGTCTAAAAAATATTAAATGTACATAACAAAATATCGTACGGGAATTTGTTTCCGGAAGTCAGGCCATTTTGTTACAAAGACACCATGTCTTTGTATTACGATACCTCCCAGTGAATGCGTTGTTCAAAATATTTCTTTCTATTTTCAGGGTTTCACAATGCTGAAAGTTGGTCTCAACACAAGCTTTGTATGCTACCTGAGCAAGCTCAACAAAGGGGTCCTTTCTCCAAAGGCAATGAAGAGTTATTTGGAACATCATCCTGTAAGTTGATTTGCTACTCCATTTGAAACAGTCGTTCGTGGATAGATAGGTTCGAAATCAAATATAATTTTACTTTACTATGTTTGTGGATTTCCTAACGAATCAATCAGCGCCGTCTACTTATTTATTAGCAACCAAAATTTTCGAAAGCCTATGTCAAGCTTGAATGTCTCAAAGGACAAGTAGATTATTGTGAAATAATATTAGTAGATATCCATTTTCAATAGTAAGAATACGGGTTCTTAAATAGGACACTGGGCTTGCTTTTTAGAACTTTTTGTTGGCTCCATTATGTTTTTTTCGAAATGGAGAAAAAAGTCTACATCACATGGTTATATTATGTTTCCTTCAGGATGGAGAAAAATTTACATCACATGGTAAAGATGGTAATAGGAATCTGCCACACTATAAGCCGGCCAAAGAGGAAATCGATCATCGGGGATTCCTAAGCGAGCAAGTCCTGGACGCCTGTGCCGGATTTCCCATACACTGGCTTGTCCCTGTTACTGAGGATGTACAACATGATGGAAAAGATGGCGATGATACTAAGGATGATAATATACGCGGTAAGTTGGGATTGTAGTATATGAAATGTCGAAGCACCAAAAATGAAAGATTAAATTATTGAAAACACTATATATTTTTCAAAACTTTTCAAAAACATTATCTTCACATGGAATTATGAACCTCAGAAAGCCAAAATATACTATTACACGTCGCACGAAACAGGGGACAATTAGAGTAACATTATGGCGTCAAAATACAAAAACAATACAATGGGCAGTATAGGGCGCAATCAGTATTATATAGCATATAACAATTCAATTTCAATTCAATTCAATTTATTATTCAATTCTAGTTTTCATACAATATTAATTTACAAGTGATATGAAAAGGACACCCCGAGGGGTGTATGGATTCCATGTTTTGAAAAAATAAAATGTGTTATACATAAAGCATGTCATGTTAGAACAGTTATTGTAATGTACAAATTTACAAAGCATACATTTTTAATTATCTTGATGTAACATAGTGGAAGTATGGTTCAAACTAACTAATAATGACTTAACAAATTGGACTTAAACTTTCGTTGAAACATTTTTATATGAATTGAGTTTCTCAAATCAGTAGATAAAGAGTTATAAATTGATGGGCCACTTGTCCCAATTGATTTCCTTCCATATTCTGTTCTAAATGGTTGAACAATCAAATCATTTTTTGATTTTGTGTCATGTGAGTGAATTGTTGATCTTAATGAGAAAAGACGGTTGAATTTTTTAAAAGGGAAATCAGGCGATCAGTTATAGTTATACAGCATTATAACGTCAAAAACGACAAGCGTTACATTTTGTCAAGTTTAGTCAACCTAAAAATAAGATGCTTTATTCTTATTCAATCCTGGTGAAATTCACAGAGCAAGAAGATCTCGAGGACAATATTTCTAAAATGTTTTTGATTTTGGAAAAACGGTCAGGAAATCCACTCGGGGCGTTAGTAAAAATTGATATGTATGGGATTTGTGGTAAAAAATCGATGCGTTACATTTTTTCAAGTCTCTAAAAGCAACTCTTATTCTCTTATTATTTGAAAAATAAAGAAATCGGTTATTGTTTTGTAAATTTCGCCATGACAATATTGTGCAATTAAATTTTTTTTGAAATCAGACCTAGATTAGAAGGTTAAATAAAGGTAAACTTATTGCTTGTCTCCTTCGCCTTCAAAACCTTACACAATTTTGAAAATCTTAAAAGCGTTCATTTAAGACGATTTGAACTGTAGCCGCTAGGCAATTGTGACGTCATAAAAGCACATGTTTCAATGAATAAAATGTGAAATTTTAGTAAAATTCTGATCAGTATTTCAAAAGTTATTCCGATTTCAACGAACCGTGTAAGCGTGAAATGTTACGTCTTACAGCGTATCTGACGATGTCGGAGTACATTTAACTTAAAAAATATGGTAGACCCCATCATACTTTTCAAGGAAAAATAATTTCAGTGAAATGCGAATAAAAAATACTTCAAAATGATATATAATACACATAGTTAGCTTTGTAAGCTAAATAAGGCAGATATTAACGCTTAAAGCTGAGATTAGCCCGTATTTCCCGAATTGTCCCCAGGTCCGTGCACGTCATATATGCATTTTTCTAGTACCTGACGGCGTTACTATGCAATCCAGTTTGATATATCTATACAAAGGGGGGAGAAAGTATCGCAACAGATTTTGACAGGCATATGTTGGATTTTGGCTATTTTCTGAGGAAAAGCACTCATAGAGATGACAAAAGCTCAGAGATCCTTAGTTGTGCATGCCCAATTTTGAAAAGACGCATGTTTTCAAATAACTATTGATTTAAAATATGGCGACACAAAAATGAATGAATCATGTGATACAGACATCTTAACCATCTTTCATTGACATTGGTCAAAACTTGGTATATAAAATTTGAAAGATCAAAATTATTATCTTTGATAATTTATTGTAACCTTTGATGTGGCCCGTTTGAGCTATTTTTGGTGTCAAATGAAAGTATCAATCCATTGGAAATACTATGAAGTTCAAAAGTAAGTCTACATTTTGCCACAAAATGTTGAAAATACGCATAATGGGCCTTTAAAAGATAATAAGTCAAATGAATTCATAAGAATGATTATGATTTTTACAGGAAATGCTGGCAATACAACCTTATTGAGAGTGAAAAGGCATAGCAGTAGTAGCAGTAGCAGTAAGAGCAAAAGTAAGAGCAAATGTAAGAGCAGCAGTAGCAGTAAGAGCAGCAGCAGTAGCAGTAGTAGCAGTAAGAGTAGCAGTAAGAGCGGCAGCAGCAGTAAGAAGAGCAGTTGTGATAGCAGCAGCAGTGAAAGTAGCGAGAGTCGTGACTATGTCTATGGTTATCCTTTACCTGGTCCTGGGTGCTGTTACAGTCGTATGAATAGTGAAAGCACTTGCTACGAGTTTGGAGAATTTTGTTGTGATGAATGCTGCATTCCCGGATGTGGACCTGCTCCCTGTTGCTACTCATCATGGTGTGACTGTTCTTTTAGATACCCACCTGATTTCTTTTGCCCCTCTGAGGCAGATTGTAGAGCACCATATTGTTCTGATGCTTTCTTTCCCTAGTAAGGACAAATTAGCTACGTGTGATGTGCGGGTTGGGGTAAATACTTCGGTGCCTTACGTAAGATATCAATTATTCCTTCGGCATATATACCCCGTATCCAAAGTCTCCCATTACGTAACCCTCATACATCATGTATCCCGTGTCTATTCACGCAGACTCTTGATGAATAGGCTAGTTAGTATACAAGGTGACCCAGAATGAATGCAACCCATAAATGTGCTTTCGATGAACTTTAAGATATATGCTTCATTTTTCACCCCGTATCCAAAACCTCCCATTACGTAATCCAGATTCTTGATGAATAGGCTAGTTATACTAGGGGTGATCAGTAAGTAATGGACGCTTTTTTACATAGATGCTTTTTATAGACCAATCTCTTTAATTTTTTCACCGGTGATACATCATTCAATTTGCTATCAACTCTGAAGATTTGGAGACAAAACTAGTTAGTATTGGCAACTATAATTAGAAGATTATATGGACATTCTACGACGCAGGCCCGTGGCCAGGATTTGCCTTTCACAAAGGGGGTTCACATTTGACAATTTTGGCCCAAATATAACTAAAATCACTTGAAAAGTGCTCAAAATGGTGAAAACTGCATGAAACCACCCGAACCTTGCGACCCCTCCCCTGGCTACGGGCCTTCGATGTTTTCGAATAAATCATAAATTCATTAGCAATTATACGTTGTGTTTTTATTTCAAAACCTTATGTTTTTAAAGTAGGCTACAGTATTTGATACTGGTTTTCAAGTTGTGTTGGTTTCAAAACCAATCAAATAGCCTATGTCATTCTCTGAAAAGAAATCTGTTCATTTGCAATTATATTTGTTCTTAGTTGGTACTATCAAAGCTTTTGTCCGAACATTCAAGAAAGAATTAGTTCACTGGCAAAGTGCCATATTTGGACACAACATCGCTTATTATATGAGATTTTTTGCATATAAAGTGACAACATGCCAAATGACTATTTCAGCATCTTGGATTTCCAACGTAAGATGTTTTCATATTGAAAATCAAACTGGGAAACGAGTATGTATTTCAGCTGGACATCATCAAATCGAAACTACTATAGTACAACATGTATTTCAGTAACGCTATCCAAACTTTATGAGAACATACAGAAAACAAAGCGAATATTCTAAGATCTGTTTTAATAAAAAATAATTCCATTTCATAAAATTGGTCATCGAATCTGACAATGGCCTCTCTCAGCTTTGGGATATCTCATCTCCTGGTAAGAGTGTTGATCGTGGGCCACTATAAGTAGCTGTGCTAAATTGGTGCCTTGTCATTCCAAATATACTCAATGATTTCTCTTAATGTAGAGTGTTTCCGCAGATTGTTTATACGTTCAGGTCCATCTGGAACTGTGGATTTACTCTTCCACACATGAATGCAATAGTTATCCTTCCAGCTATATCGACCATTGAACAGCTGTTCGTATTCAAACCACTTTGGACCGATAAGTGACCATTCCTCTATATGAACCAAATGGGGAAATATTTTGGAAAGATTGTATGGGATTTGTACTGAATGGAATAGATATGTGTTTTGACCATTTTTCCAATATCCATATGTTTTGAAAGCCTCATGCCAGATTTTAAGAAATGGAGCACGTGGCTTAGCAAAAATCATTCCGTTGGCAAGTTGGTCTTCAGAATTCCTGGATAAAGTGACATCATACTTCAATAGAGGCCTGTAACTTTTAATTGCGATTACATCGGAATCGATGTACACACCCCCGTATTCTGGAACAAATTAAAGCTGATTAAAGCTGATTATACATATATCATGTATATACAGTCTGGAGTTGCCTGGAGCAATCTATCCCACATCATTTAAGACTGAATGCTCAATCTGGTATGAATACCTTGACCCATAAATTTGACCTTGACGAACAATATATCCATGAATCTATATATATATCAAAATGTAGTATTTATCATCTACTCTTCCAATGATATGGAGCTAATAAAAGACAGACATCGGAGACATATCAGAATTTCCACCAAATTACGCATTTGGCAAAATGGGTGACTCCGAACAATAATATGTATTGAAAATGAAAAACTTATTGCGAAAAATTCCCGCAATTTCTAAACCGGTGTAAAATGGTAAGCTTAAGTGCTCCTATCAAATTTTGGTCCTACTCTCAATTGATTTATATGGTGACCTAATTACAATTATTTTGCTTATTATTTATACATAGTCAGGGCCAGTAAGGGCCGTAAGGAAAGGGGACCATAATCCCCAGCGGACAATAATTTCTTTTATACCGGCAGCCATCTTGAAAAAAATCTTTTTTGCGAAAACTTTTCACCAATATACATCTTTCAACCAAAAATCCATGAACTAGTATTGGACTTATCTTCCGAACTGACGGATAGATGGCTTCACAATATCCCTATCGAACTTCATTAGTTGGGCTAATTAGACATACAATAATACCTTGTAATATTTCCAGTCTAAGGATATCTGTCAATTGTCTCTTAAATAGAATCGTCTTGCCATATACACGAGGCTCCTCAATAAAAACATGAATAATATTTGTAACATTACGTCTCACAAAATCCCACCATTTTCCAGTAGGGAGACTATTCGCATGAATATAAATCGTCTCCGGTTTCCAATGCTTTAAAACGCTTAAAAAACTAAGTGCATTTAAAAAAGTAAACTCCGGGGCCCCTTTTAACTGTTTATTTGAACTTTGAATCCATATATAATGAACAACATTAGGAACGGACGATAGTTTTGTTTTATCAAATTCGGTGCTGATATCATATGTTGTACCATTGTCCAAAACCGCAAACATTTTTGCCCAAATAAACCTAGAGCAACTAATAACAATAGTGATAGGCCTATGAGACATCTCATTCTCGTTATTCTTTTAAACGTCATTTTAGACTGTTGATCAATGCTTTCCCTTTGAAGGTCGTTCAAATTTATGACTGCATAAATACTTTTTTTAAATTATAATAGTGATGCTTTATCATTTAGCGGATTTATATCTTTATTTATACTTTTTTATTTTAATAATATGTTATCATTGAGCAGAATCACGCGACAGGTTGCAAAAATCATTTGACTACAGCACTGACAAGGCGGTTATCCCCGGACACACTACTATACCTAACACCTAGAAATGCATAAGATACTTTGTTTCTCTATTTGTATTGTTAAGTACATTTTTTAAAGTACCTTATGAACATCTAACGCCATCCAATAAACCATTCATAAGGAACAGACAAATAAAAACAAATACATAATCATTACTAATAAGCCAAATGGGTTGCTCATGAGCACCAAATGCAAGGTATAGTAGAGTGCAGACTCTTCACATAAACAATCGTTCAGTTACAATGTTTACTTAGTCCGTTACTTAGACAACACATCATTGTGTAATATGCCATTGATCGTTATATATGCCTTGCTGGTTTTCTATGATACATATTTTAAACAAGCTCGTTTTGTATAATATTTGGAGCTAAAACATGTATGACACGTATCATTTTCTTCAGAAAGTATTATACTGTGCATCGAAATCAAAATTGCCAGCATAGTATTCAATAAACATGAGTATAATGATTCCCGTTGACACCTATGTGAAATTGCAAATCTCCCGTTCTAATCCCGAAACTTATGGTTGGCTTACCCGCCCAAAGAATGCACGTGTAGTTTACGGGTGTGTAGGCGTTGATTACGCTCGTGCAGATGTAAAATTACGCCCGTGCAGACGTAAAATTATGCCTGTGTAGGCGTGAATTACGCCCATGAAGAAGTAAATTCTACGGCGTTCAAACAAAATTTACGGGCGTAAACTTACGGCGTTAAAATGATTAATTACGGGCGTTAACGTCACGCCCGTCGAGTTTATTTTTAGCGCTGTAAAGTATGAACCAATCAGCATTAGGCTAGCTACTAGACCCTGTGACCCCCCCCCCCCCCTACTTGACTACACACATCCCACACAGAGGTAGAGGGGGGAGTCACAGGGGCTTGTAGCTAGAGTAGAGTAATTATTTTCAACTTGCAAATACTTATTTCACGAAATACAATATCATGTGACATTTCATACTGGACGTTTTGCTATCCGCCACATTACGATGAAAATTAAAAACAGAATTAGACGGTTGCCAAAAAAAACTTATGGTTGGCTTACCCGCCCAAAGAATGCACGTGTAGTTTACGGGTGTGTAGGCGTTGATTACGCTCGTGCAGATGTAAAATTACGCCCGTGCAGACGTAAAATTATGCCTGTGTAGGCGTAAATTACGCCCGTGAAGAAGTAAATTCTACGGGCGTTCAAACAAAATTTACGGGCGTAAACTTACGGCGTTAAAATGATTAATTACGGGCGTTAACGTCACGCCCGTCGAGTTTATTTTTAGCGCCGTAAAGTATGAACCAATCAGCATTAGGCTAGCTACTAGACCCTGTGACCCCCCCCCCTACTTGACTACACACATCCCACACAGAGATAGGGGGGGGGGGTCACAGGGACTTGTGGCTAGAGTAGAGTAATTACTTTCAACTTGCAAATACTTATTTCACGAAATACACTATCATGTGACATTTCATACTGGACGTTTTGATATCCGCCACATTACGATGAAAATTAAAAACAGAATTAGACGGTTGCAATTTTGAAGTAGATGGTAACGGCCGTTAACGTCGCCTGGTACTGCCCAATGAACAGCTTGTGTTTTATATTTGGTATTCAACTTGCCACAATATTTATTTTGACTATGACTAACCCCCCTATCACACCAAACTAGTTCTTACCCGTTCTTGCCAGTCCTACGAAAACGTCGTAAAACGGGCTCAATCTGGCTGTGGTCGGGAAATGTGTCTGAAATAATTAGCTTCTTCGTTCTTAAACAGTCTTCAATACGTCCATCTCGTTCGCAGTTCGTTCAGGTCGCACCACGTCGGGGTGCAACGTCGTAGAACGCGTCCCTTAGTCTAGAAGGTCAACATGACCTGATTACAGAACGGTATGGTCGCCATCGAATTTTGAATCGATTCAAAATTCTAAAATCACATTCCCGTTCATAAAGTTCGTAAATAGACCTTAGAAAGTTGCAGCTACGTTCATTCCGTTCGCACACAGTTTAAAACCAGTTTTGAAGAACGCAGTGGCAACTTGTTTGGTGTGATAGCTATATTTTTGCTATCTCGTTCATAAGCAGTGTTAAAAACGTTCTTAATCAGTTTAAACCCGTTTGCAATTAGTTCTACCTCGTTCTCAACACGTCCTCAGACAGTTCAACTCGTTGTTAAAACGTCCCTAGTAGGACTGAAGTACGACGGTTCCGTTCGTAGAACGTCCAACTCGTCCTTAGTACGTTGTCACTCGTTCTAATTGTAGAACGTGACGACCACGAGAACATTTTGAGCATGTTCTAAGTTCTAGAGGACCTACCCGTTCGAGTACGTTCGATGAAGTTTGTAAATAGATCCCAAACGGTTTTTAGTAGGTCCAGTCCGTTCGTACACAGTTGAAGCCCGTTTTCGAGAACGTAGTGAGAACTAGTTTGGTGTGATAGTAGGGTAATGATGCAGAATATAAAATAGCAAGTGCATGAATATCAATTCATATTTATTATCGATTCATTTATTTACTCGTATTTATTTGTACATAAATGTACAGTTTTCATTTTTGAGAAATTCACAGTTTTCAAGTGACCATGACGCAAATATGAGTCCTTGGTTTGAATTATAAGATCCACATTCTTGATAGACACCCATGGGTTTTTAATTTAAAGTCCTTCCAAATAAATACCCATGATGCAATTTATAATGCTTTTACACAAGAAAATGTACCACAACACCCAGTGGGTGTATAGTCAAAGAAGAGATTAGTTAGTACCGTAGTACGCAAATGTAGAATTTTAGAAATTCCATAAATACTAGTATATCAAAACAATAACGTTTCTTTTCATGTTTATTTTCTTACACACTGATAAAAACTCTAATCTGATATTAAGTTTGGCATATTTTTAACGTCTTTAGAACACTTCTTCAGAGTCTCAGTATATCAATCTAATCCTTGTTTTCTGTCATCATGTAGGGCCGCATTATTATAAGAGATAATGGCTGCAAAAATATGCAAAATGATAACTGCTATGGCTCATTTCATTTGCTAGGTTTTGGCAGTTTCTTGATAAGTTCTAGAATATTTGAGGAGTTGTACTATATCAGCTGGTGTTACACCTTGTATTCTACTAGCAGCTGCAATCTGAAATCAAAAACACCAAACCATTTAACCCTACAGTCACTTGATATTTTCAGTGGGGAATTGTCTCATTTCAATTCATTTTTATACTAACACTGTAATATCACACTTGAATATTCTAAAATGGTATGGCAAACACAGTAAGCCAATAAACCTAGTGTCATGGTTTACAATTTGTGGATTTTAATCAGCTTTATGACAGTATGATATTTAATCTTATTCATTTTATTTTTTAAAAGCAATAAAAAAATTCCAAAGAATCTGACAACACAATAGGAGAAAACTATGCGGATTGGCAACTGATTTGTATATACTTACACTCTGTGGTTTTGCAAAGGTCAGCTTTGTTTTTGCTTCATTGCTTATGTGCAAACTGAAAATAGAAACAATGCTGAAAATTTGGTGGGCAATGCACACCATACTGCACTGAATCTGTGGAATGCATCTGTCAGATGAACACGTCCTTAAGTTGAAGAGTTTTCAAGTTACCCTTTACCTTCAAGTAAAATTAACCTCTATAAGTAAAACACTTTCCAAATGGACATTATGTTGTGGTTCCAAAGGTGTTCCACTAACACAGGTTAAACTGTACCTCAAATGTCCATTTAGAGTGAGATATCTGAGCCTTCATTAAAATATCTTCTCAAAAACAATGAAATTATGACTTTGAAGTGTAATGTTTTTTAAAATAGCCTAGAGGTTAAAATAGTAACACGAGAGTTTTAACTTATAGTTATAGCCCTGGTGGAGAAGTATGTAGGTTTCTTAATCTTATTTACTTTGAAAATCAGCACTATGCCAGTTTGGCATGGGAGGGCAAAATATTTTATATCACATCTTTTAAGGCATTTATGTTAATTGACATTAAACATTTAATATGAATAAAAATCTAATAAATTGTTTGAACAATTAAAATATTTTACAATTTCTGATCTCAAACTTATACGTTTACCAGGCCCGTAGCCAGAATTTTCCAAGGGGGGTTCACTTTTCAAAAAAAATTCTAGGGGGGGGGGTCACTTTGGCAAATTTGGCCAAAAATCACTCAAAAAATAGTCAGAATGGTGAAAAACTGCATGATTTTGAAAGAAATTACGGCCAGGGGTGGGGTTCGCTCGAAGTCCCCCTGGCTACGAGCCTGTTTACACTACATATATCCAACAAACTTATAGAGCGAAATACATGAGTGAGGTATAATATAATACATGTATTTACCTTTCATAATCTATGTTGTCTGGGATGATCAGTTTCTCATCTCTTTTAATTTCTTCAACTTGTTCACGCTGTGCCTCAACATGGGATCCGTATATACCTAATAAACCAAAATGCAATATATGTTTAACAGAAGTAGGGCTACATCTACAGTGAAATCTGTAAGTGGTCCTATAAGGGTTAAAATTTGTGTATAATGATCTCTGCTTATCAAATGAAACATCCCTCATGATATAAGTGTAAAGTACCTAGACATTGAAATGGGTAAGATGGCAAAAATTGAAAACAATTTTGGTTTTGGGGCCTTTTAATTCAATAAGTTGGAAATCTTAAAACCTTCAGTCTTACCTCAAAGTTAGGATTAACTATTAGGGAAAAGGTTAGCGCTAAAAACTGAATTTTTAATTGGTTCCTTTTTTGAAAAATTTTCAATGGATCAAAGTGGATGCTGTCTGGATTTCTACATTTTGGGGGGTACTCACCTTCTGCAATGGGGCCATCATATGTAATACTTATTATGTTACTTACAGTAAGCCTCAGTCACATTTGCTCTACGAACAAGATTCTTATAGAAAATCTACATAGTACTGCTTATCCTTATATTTTACATGTATGCTGCATATTTCTCTTGAATTTGGGAAGCTATGGACCATATTGTTGCCTTAGATCAAATGTGACTGAGGTATTGAGCATGCCTTACCCTCAATCTTGAGTCTTTCACAGAGTTTATCCTGCCCTCTGAGGTGACCAAACTTCTCTGGTTCTGCTTCAATGATGTCATTCATGGAAGTTTCAGTGCCAGCTAACAGTTCATATGCGCTGCAAGAAAAACAAGGCTTTAACATGCAAAATTTCACCACCTCCTATTTGTTACAGGCACTGACTGCTGAGGACTGTTACACACGCTGACCACCAGCCATAAAAAAGTTGGAGACTATAGCAATATGTCACCACTTCTGGTGGTGACATAATCAATTCCAAATATGTAATTATTTTGTTCTGATATCCATTATGATACTCAAAAACACTTGAAACATAAGAGAGACTTATAGAGGTATATACAAATTTTATATAGTGTATCAATAAGTAAATAACCTTAACAATTGTATTTTTCATTTTACTCTAACCAGTGACCAAACTTTGTGTTTCAATAATATTGTAAACAAACTAAAATGCATTAACATGCAAAATGTCACCACCTGTCATTTGTTACAGATGCTGAATGCCAAACACAAACCACCAAATGCCAGAACACCAACTTTAAACACTGTCTACAAAAAGTTAGAAACCATAAGAATGTGTCAAGACTTGCGGTGGTGACTTAAAAATCAACCAATCAATACCTCTGTTGCTTGTAATTATTCTTTGTCCTCCGTTTCATTTTTACACGCCATGTGAATAAATCATTTTGCACTTCCTTCAATAACTGCACATTTTCTCGTAGATCTTGTTCCATAGTTTTGTATTGGGAGTATCGTTTTTGGCTGACACATCCTGTTTCATATGCTGGAATAATACAAACTTCAAAATTTATTGGATAATTATTTAGAGGTATATGGTAGTTTTAGTTTCAACTAATAAAGATACATCCAGGCATGCAGGCCCGTAGCCAGGGGGGGGTTCCCAGGGTTCGGGCAACCCCCCTTGGCCAAAAATTCTTTCAAAATCATGCAGTTTTTCACCATTTTGAGCACTTCTCAAGTGATTGTAGCCATATTTGGGCCAAAATTGTCAAATGTGAACCCTCCCTGGAAATTTTTGAAAACTGACCCCCTTCCTGGCTAGGGGCATGGCATGTATCATTGTAGTAAGCCACGCCTTGTCCACCTCTTCCCTTCTTAACATGATATAATGGATGAAAAGGGCATGAAAAGTGAAAATGAGAGCACATTTGCTCAACTCTCATTAAATTAAGGAATGGATTGGATTAAGGGCAAGGTAGATATCGTTTTATTGTTAACTGATCAATAAAATAATAAACATCTGAAAAACAAGTGGGTAAGACATGTATGATAAATGTTGTAGCATATCACAAGTAGTATAAAAACAACAGCTTAATATTTGAAACCAAGTAGTGGATGGATGGATGGATGGATGGATGGATGGACGGACAGACGGATGGATGGATGGATGGATGGGTAGAAGGATGAATGAAAGGGAGATTCTGAAAGCTCACCATGTGACCCAAAAATTGCTTTTTCAGTTTTCATGTTTTTACCTTTTCCAGTCAGTCTTATATCAGCATTATCTGGCCTCAAGGAGAGTCTGAATTCAGCCCTGCTGGTAAACATACGGTACGGCTCATTGGTACCTTGACTTGTAAGGTCATCTATCAGAACTCCTAAACATTAAATGACAACACTTCATATGCATGTTTTAACCTAACAAAACAATACTTGTTCACAGACTTCAGATTTTATCAATTAGAGTTAAAGTACATTTGGTACAGAATTGTGTATTATTTCAAATGAATGTTATACATTTTTGGAAACAGATAAGACAAGATGTGCTAAAATCTTTTTGGCCCCAATTTATTTTATTTCATTTGTGTAATTACAACAAGTTTATACAATTCAAATACAGTGGACACCCTTATTGGCTGTATAAACTGTAAAATAGTGTTCTGTATTATGGCCTGCTTTTGGAGCGTTTTGATGGCAAGTCTTAGAAGATACCTCACCTATATAGCCTTCACTACGTCCTATTGTAAATGGGGGTTTATTCTGGACTTTACATGCAGCATTAATACCAGCAATTATACCCTGAAATTATAGACAATAAAAATTATCATTGGCTAAACTGTTACTACCCAGAGTACGAGTAGATTGTCATTTTTAGGATTCTGGACTTAAGAGTTCAAGAATGAGATGGGAATATTTAGTGTAATTATCAAGGAATATTTTTTCACCAACAAAGTTACTTATTTTCTAGAATCCTGATTTATAAATTCATTTTGACATGTTGATATAATGGAAGCAAATATGTAATTATGTAATGTTTTGTTTCATACTGTATCAAATATACCAAAAATGGCGAATTAAACATCTACTGATCTGGACTACATGTACGTATACACAGCCAAGCCACATCCTCTTGGAATCCATGCCTAAAGGATGCACATGGATTAAATGTGGAATCCTCAAACAAATCAATCATATTATATGGATGTTATGCATAGGAATCCACATGGAAGTAGGACAGTTTACCACATGGATCTGCATGGATCAGATTGGAGGTGTATAAATAATACAAACAAATAGAACTTTAACTTAAAAATCCCATAAACATACTTGTGCCGCAGCTTCTTCATAGCCAGTTGTGCCATTAATCTGTCCAGCGAAGTACAAACTCTGGACTTTCTTGGTCTCCAAGGTGGGTTTTATCTGCCGTGGATCCATGTAGTCATATTCAACTCCATATCCTGTAAATCACCATATAATTAATACAATGTACTATAACTGGATGAGAAATGTTCACGTTTGGCAAATATTTGAAATCCATCGTAGGCCCATGTCAATGCCTAAAAGCCTTATATTTGTTTTGTAATGAGAATCATACAGTTAAAAAAGGCCTACAGGATTCCTTCTTTCTGAACATAATCTTGAGACAAAATCTCTGGCATGTATACTAGATAGTATTTCATGGCCACACAAAAGAGGGGAGAATACCCCATGTAAAGGTGAACCTCTACAGCCCCAATCTGCACTCTGAAATCATGGTACCATATCGTACCGAACCACATTTAATATTGAGTATGGTGGCGTATAGTTTCAATGGTACTGTAGGGTACTATTTTGGTCTACTGTACCGTACAGTGCCATAGTTTATGGTAGCCAAAATGGTACTGTACGGTACAGTTGAAGAGTCTAGAGCTTCAACTTTGGCCTTTCTCTCAGCGTTGGTTCATAGAACGTTAACTTACCTGGCTTAACAATGACTGCATTCTCTAATCCTTTAATCTGTCTCACTAATGTTTGTTGTATCTCTTCAGGTAGTGTACAGCTAAGGCCATTTGGGTAGACCACCTCACTATCAAACCCTAGAGAAATAAAACATGGTTCATTAATTATGAATGGCCATATTGTATTGGTCCAGTAACATACTTTTTCAAGGTTAACATGTTTTTGATTATGATCTGTAAGCATCATACTCGTTTCCCAGTTTGATTTTCAATGAAAACATCATACCTAGGAAATCCAAGATGCTGTATGCATGCCATTGACATACTGAATGTTATTTGGAGCTATGAAATAATTATGCCACTTGATGTGACAGAGTACAGTAACACCTTTCTTGGTGGAATACATTTGGTTGTGCTGGTCTATTGTGAGAATACATCACTTCTGAGTCAGGTTAAATCTTAATTTAAATCTGGTTCTGACTATTTCTATTGAAAGTCAAGCAAATGTAAATTGGTTATATTTGAAATGAAGTTGGTTTCGGACAAACCATTATTTTGTCTCTCTGTGTATTAGTGGTAAAGTTATCACATTACATCCAGACAATAGTGCCATCTTTTAAAGAGTAGAATTTATATTTTATTTACAGTTTTCATATTATTCATCAATTATATCAATGTTCGGTGTACAGGCAACTGACACCCATATTGGTGTATATAGTTACATATGATTATATTACATAATTGTATAAATCAAGATACCTTCTGGCTCCAGGAACACCTGATGTGTCTTTCCTTTAAAGCGCATTATCTTGGATTCCAAGGATGGGCAGTACCTACAATTATAAAATTTATCAATTGTATAGGGCACAAAGATGAGCCTTTAACTATATTTTATATACATGCTAAATGCTTTGTCCAGGATTTTGATTCAAAATTCCTTTTAATAAAACTCTTTGGCAACTTGAATATACTTTATTTTTGTCTCTCTTGAAGCTTATGTTTTAATTCATAACAAGAATGCATTTCTACTTACTAAGCAATCTAAAATCAAAATATTATTGAGTATATTACCATAGTGCAGTCTGATGGTTTAGCATGAGTTGGACAGAATGTCATACAAAGCACAAACCAAAGATGAGTGCATTTGTACTGACATTCTGCCCAACAACACTCTGTTTGGTTGAGGAACTCAGTTAGAGAACGGTCAGGCCCGTAGCCAGGGGGGGGGGGGGTTCGCAGGGTTTCGGGCGAACCCCCCCCCTGGCCAAAAAAAATTATTTCAAAATCATGCAGTTTTCACCATTTTGAGCACTTTTCAAGTGATTTTAGCCATATTTGGGCCAAAATTGTCAAATGTGAACCCCCCCCTGGAAATTTTTGAAAACTGAACCACCATGTGAACGGTCATGTTTGAATCATTATTAAAGTATTCTTGTTATTGATCAATTAATGCAATAAACCTTTTTAAGAGTGTAACATGATTAGTTCCAGTAAAAATAGATTGCAGTTTAAATTATTCATAGCATATTGCGAAGATAAAAACACTTTCCACATATTTTCACTCATCGGATCCATCTAATGGTTTATTAATTAAATGAGGTGAAACTTTCAATTTATAACACATCGCAATTGAAAAATTATTGTACTTCATATACTGTATCAAAAAATGCAACAAACAAACAAGGCATTAACATGACAAAATGTCACCACCTACTTGCTCACAATATTATTAGTTCAATCTTACGTCAGATTTGAATTTCTGAGATGTTGTAGATGATTTTGGAAAAAATTAGTGAAATTTGATGCAATTTAAAAAAGACCTTTTTTGATCGACCCTGAGAAGGTCATTGGAGGTGAAATCTAAAGTCAGATTTGAAAAAAACTTTTTTGAAAAATACATTTTTGACCTTTTTACCTTGAAAAGGTCATTGAAGGTCAATCCTTAAATTTAAAGTCAGATTTGAACTTCTGAAAAGTTGTATATGATTTTGAAAAAAATTGAAATCAGTCTAAACCGGGGTCTAAACAGTATTTGTAAAGTTATTGGAAGTTGTAAGAATTTGTTACAGACACCAACCACCGTTTACCAAACCATGATCAAATGTCTGAATTCTGACCTTCATCATTCACATTTACAAATATGTTGAAAAATAAGTCAACCCTATGGCATTATGCATAGCAAGTACATTGTAAATACACATATTTTTACTGTATTATTTATTCTAATAAAAAAGTTGAATGAACATAAATAGTAAATGTCAATCGGCTGAATCTTATCTTTGCTTATAAAACACTTATGACAAACACTTATGGCAATAGGTTAATAATATTAAGCAAATATTATTAACAAATACAAATCAGCTAATGACATAAATAAATAATCTTATTTTCTCCCTTGCAAATAATTAAACTAAAAATAATATCCCGTGAAAAATGGACCATTGTAACTTATGAAAGTGATTTATGTTATGAAGAATTGTGGTCTAGGGGATACTTTAGGAAACTTAAAGTACATCATTGAATTACGATACCTTTTGATAATATTAATGTATAGCCAAGATCTAAAATGAGGTGAGGCTACTTTAGATAGGAAGGCAAAATTTGCATTATCAGAATAAGGCATTAATATGCAAAATGTCATCACCTGCCATTTGTTACAGACCTGTAAACACAATGTCAGTAATCAACCTGCCACTTGTTACAGATACCGAATGCCAGCTACCGAACACTGAATACAAACTCCCAAACGCCATCTACTTCTGGTGGTGACATAAAAACCTAATTGTTTTATAATGACATTGGAAATGAGAGACTTATCATGTAATAAATTAGACTTTTGGTGTAAAATTACTTACAATTTCAGAAAAATATTTCTATGTTCTGGTGTTTTGATATTGTACTAAATAATAAAATAATCATTTAGAAGGTTAAGTTAGGTGAAAAACCTATAATACTTTATAATACATACTTGTACAAATAAGAGTGCTTTATTATACAATTATCAAGTTGATTCCATAGAATGCCAGAACTAAAATGCTTTCATCCAATCTTAACCCTTGCATAAAATTACAGTACAGCAAAACTAAATGTTTCCACATTTAATTTATTATAAAAAAAGCCTAAATAAGTAAATCTGATAAAAAAAGTAAATATAGATGAAGATCTTTTTTTTACTTTATGGAAACAAATATTTTGTCATAATATTCTAGTTATCAAAAGCTAAAGGGACATGCCAAATCACACCATCATGTTTTCCGAGGGTAAATTCTGTTTGATTAACCTGAGATTTGTGTTCCAAGGCCATTTGCAGACCTGTTCTTGCTTTGAAAAATACATGTTAATCAATAAAGAACTTTTGAAGTATATTTGACACCAAGGTATTTGATATCTGAGAGTACACATTACTGGACATGTTAAGGAATTGATTTATTTGTAAGTACTTTTTTCTATAAAATCTCATTTTTATTTGATATTCTCTGAAGATGTATAGACTTTAATATACAGTGTTTTAACTGTTTTCTGAAAATATTGAAGACAGGAGGAAATTTTATGGAAAATCAGGTATGTCAAATAATTAATTTAATCATTAATATTGTTATTATAATACACACAAATGAACAAATCTGATTGATAAAGTACCAATAAATTATACCATGAACCTTTTTTTTATAATTAATAAATCATGAAATGGTATTAATCAACTGTCATTCAAGCAATCAAAGAGAGGAGAGGGTACTCGATAGGTAGGCATGGGTATAACATTCTAACCAAACAAATGAAGAGATTGCTTTATTTTAATTAAACAGAATATGAACGCAATATGATAATTAAAATATTAAAATCTTTCAGCACAGTTTCTTCTTTTTTATTAGGGTCTAATTTCTGATAAGATGTAAAAAAATCTTTAAATTTGGGATGGAAATCTAAACGATGATCGGCATATTTTCTTCAAAGATTTGTTCAGAGTGCCCCCCACCAGTCCATCACCACCGCCCCCCCCCCCCAAATCCCGCATGATGCATCAAATGGTCTTTGCATCAACTCCCTTCGTGTTATAACATGACTTTTATTGGCACTCCTCTTGAAATTCATGATATAAGATACTTTAGAAAGGTTACATTAATACTTAATGATGTACATTGTTTATAGGAGATAATAATGTAAAAGTAGCATGATAATGCCACCAAAAGATATTCAAGATAAAAATTCATCTCTGGAAACCTTTTTAATTAGACTTGTCCGAATGTGACATTTTGAATATGATTCATGAAATATTGAAAAGCTGTTGAAGCATAACATTAAGTTACATTGAGTTACATTAAATACAATCAATGCTGGTAGTCTATTTAAACAAGTGCATTCTTTCAGTCTCAAGAAATACTTGACAGATCAAGATGGGGACAATGTGCTTTCACAAGTGAAATTCCATTCTTAAGATTTTACTTTCCACTTTTTTACATTGTCAGTTCCCCAACTCAATCACTACGTTCTATGTGATGACAGATAGATGCTCTGTCTTGGTCGTAAGCTGTGACCTTAATTTAGAAATGGTGAATGACTTTTGAAAATTTGTAATTCCCATGATAACCTATGACGTGCGAATCTGTTAAATAATTTATTAAAATGTTACCACCTGGTCATCAGTCACTTTTAGAAATTCAAAATAATTTGAATTAACATGAAACAACAACAGTAAAAACACCTCTCTCTAGTGGACACCCCTCCTCCACACATACTCTACTGAATTCTGTATAAATTACCCTCTCTGTAATGAACACCTACCAACACTGAATGTTTTTTCTCAGCAAAAAATTATACAGTACATAGGTTTACTGTATATGATACCAGATTAGATAGAAATGTCAGGAAATAACTGAAAAGCCTATTTTTCAAACATTTTGTTTTTCTCTACAATTCAGTATATGCCATGTATGCTTGACATTCATATACCAATTACCCACTTATTATATGGTGATCAATTTCCCTGGGCTTCACTCCTAATATGGTCATTAGTAAACCCGACTTTTCCCCCAAAGACCTAATGTTTCAGCCCCAAAGGGTCTCATGTGGAAACAACAATAAAACCAATAATAAAAATCTACTCATCATCAATTATTTTACAAATGATGTGTAATCTACAGAAAGCATAAGAGAACAATCATCATCATACCTGCAGGAAGATATGTGATATGAAGCTTGGTGAATACAAATATCAGTAGCTTAGTGACTATAAATTCAGCATATGAGACTAGAAAATCAGCAAAATATCAAGAAATTGGGAGTTGAAATAAAAAAAATGAACAAGAAGGATTAGAAAATCTGAACTGGAAAGCAACCCAACGAGCTAACGTTAACTCCTTCAAAAACTCATTCTAACCAAACCACTAGCAAATAAACAATAACATTATGCTTTAAGGATTATAATTTTAAACAAACCTTACCAAGATAGATTATTAGTTATTTCAATGAAACAATGACAGGTACAAATTATAGATGACAATTGGTAGTTTTCAACGTATAACCACCATTAGTTGGAAAATAAGTTGCACTCTATGACCTTGAGGATAATCATTCTATCCTGATGTAGTGATTACCACATTTTTGTTTACGTTGACACAATTTTTAACAAGGTTTGCACAGTTTTCTTTTTCAATTTGTATTGGATTAATCATATCGACAATACAAAACAATATTTGAACTATTTTTTCAACTACTGTGCAAAGTGTGATATTTTGTAACTAGTGGAATTGATGAAGATTGAAATAACGACAAAGCTTTACTTTAATCATGGATGAAAAGTATCGTCACCTCTTGGAGAGGAACCACTACCTGCTTACATCCAACATAACATTAACAGATGAAATGTACGACAAATTGACAGAGATGAATGTACTTACAAGGACAATGATACAGGATGTTAAGGTAAATAACTAATTGTTAATAGTTTAAGTGCAAAGGGGAAAGGCCACAAAGTAATGAATAAAATAACATAAAAATGGTTATAAAGGGAATTATACGGAATGGCCTATGTAAGAAATATGTCTCTAAAATAATGTTACCTTTTCATGCCATCTTAAAATATTTGCTCAGTGGTCTCCACAGGATTTTTTCTCTATCAGGTGCAAAATTCTCATTTTTTCAACTCAGACAAAAATATGCCAATTTCCATTTTCATTTGAAAGTTGATGCAAATGGATTTTCAGGTGGCAAGCCTGTTTTTAAAATCTCAGGTGGGTGCTGTGCCCACTTGCTTTAATGCTGGGGAGATCACTGTCGGTTTCACATTGCAGTTAATCTTTTAGTTTATAAAGGCTCTGGATAGCATGTTCTTTATTGTAAAGTGAAATACACTAATTAGTTTTGAATCCCTTTTAGAGGTACCAAAAGTGTTTTACTTGGACAGGTTTTACTGTATATTAATCTTAATGAGCAAAATATACAGTTAAGCTGTAAACAATTCATGTAGTATGAAAACATTTATGTATTTGCAGTCTAAAGAGGCAGGTGAAAGGGTGGCCTATATGCTAGAGTTACTAACCAAGCGCCCAAAGGCCGCATACAAACAATTCTGCTCAGTCCTTCAAATATGCAACCATTCCTTTCTCTCAGACCACATGTTACAGGAAGAAGGTACAGTTCATGTATATACAATGTACAGGGTGGGCCAAAAAATGCCACTTTTTTTTCAAGACACTACAACTTTTTTATTTTCCAACCTACATACCCCAAATTTTGTAGTTATATAGTGCCAAGGGTTCTTAGTAATAATATTATGTAACAAGTCCTTCAACTGGGATTATATTTGATCTAAAAGAGGAGTTCAATTGGTCCGCCACGCCATTTGATAATAGATTTTAGTTTTAGTCGCCTTGCTGATATAGCAGTATCAATGAAATGTTAGCTAAGTTTTCTTCAACCTGTCTTAATTGCCAGCTTTAGTTGAGCAATTTTCTAGATTGGGTGCCTTCATACGATGTCCTGGAGACCTTCCCATACCCTATACTCACTGGGGTTTGCATAAGGGCTATTAGCTTGGCGATCATCAGGTCGTATCAGTTCAGGAACATTTTGCAAATTATGCTTATTTCTCATGGCACACCACATATTTAAGTGAGACACTGGTAACATATTTTATTCAAGTAAAAGTGTATAATTCATGCTCCATGGCTAGATAACAACTTCAAGTTTTATTTGGTATGCAAATTATGATTAATATCAAAAATTAAAAAAGTTAAAGCATTTTGAAAAAAAGGCATTTTTTGGCCCACCCTGTATATTCAACTCATTGTACGAAGCCTTTCTATTAACTTTCTGGATCCACTCTAGGAAATAAAAATAATCTCGTTCAAATCAGCATAATCTCACATGCATATTTTATCTTTGGATTTTCCATAGTTTAGCAGATTCTAATACATTATACTTGTTTTTTATTTCAATATACTCTACCACAAATAAGAACATTTATTAGTAAAATTATTATAAAATGTATCATCAATTTTTTTCTCAGCATTTCCACAGAGTGATGGTGTCAACATCAATGACCTCTTTTGGCGAGTACCCTCACTACAGAAACACATCCACAACAAGGAGAAAGATATCTTACTAACCTATGTCCAACAAAAGGTAAACAAGGCATCAATGTGCAAAATGTCACTACCTCCCATTTGTTACAGAACCTTATTCTAACACAAAAGTGTTGGAGATGATAACCCCAGACTATAACAACTTGTGGTGGTGACATAAAAACAATGTTAATCAAAAATATTATATTATGAATATAAACAAAATGTCACAGTATTTCTTGTTAAAATTAATTATTCAAAATCTAAGCACATCATTCACTTAAAAGCCCACAAATGGCAAATAATTATTGAAGATGAAATGAGAACCTGGCAAACCAGTTGAGGATATTAATCCCAAAATTAATATATAGATGTCATGCCAATAAACATCAACTAATTCTGCTATAGGTAAGAGAGGAGGTAAACAAATCCCAATGGCAGAGCTCCCCTGCAATGAAAGCCTCTGCAATGACCATACGAGCCAATCAGATTGATCAGATAGAGAAATACAAAGGATTGCTTGTTCAGAAGGAGGCACAGGTAATTGTATATGTTGGTTTAGAAAGAGGAATGTTATTTGTGTCTCTTGCTTAGATCTGGTCAGTTGTAACATTTGTGTTAATGCAACTGATTTATTTATATAAAATATTGAAATAAAAAATGTTGGTATTTTTCTCTGAAGGGGTCAGTGCCTTTTTCTACCATTGAAAAAATCAGAATTACCTGTTTAAAAATACAGTATCCCCAGACTTACACATGGTACATGTAAGTGAATGAATTGATCTATAGGAGATGCATGCATCCTTATAATTTTTTACTATCATTCCACAATAACCATTTGATCAATTTTTCAAGCCTTAGTATTTTCAGTAAAGAAGTTTTGTGTTCAAAATCCATCAATGGAACAGATACATGTACACTGCAAGGCCTCTTTCCAAATTTAAAATAGGTAATATGAAACATAGTACATTCTTCTTCAGGCCCACAGCCTTGAAGTAAGACTAAAAGATGCAGAGCAAGGGGCAGCTAGAGAAACTCATAGATTACAAGACAACCTTAAGGCTTTGAGAAATCGCTATGACAATGATGTCACAATACAAATGAGGCATGCAGAAGCTGGTGAACGCTCGATCCATCGACTTAGTGACAACCTTTTCCATTTAGAAAACCAAGTGTGGGCAGTTAATAAACTAATACGGAAATCATTAGGTGAAGCACCTGAGGACATAGAATGGGATCCTTTAAATAAAAGTACTGAGACTTTGGAAACAAATATCAATGCTCTCATTGAGAAATATTCAAATCTGAAGACATTTTCTTCTGAAATTGAAACAGTAAATGATAAAGATAAAATAGCTGTTTTAAATCTTCTAAAGATCCATAAAGGAAGTGATATACCCATTATTGATATCATTGAAGAATATACAGAGACTCTGAATAAAGCTATGGATGACACAATTTCGGAACTTAACAAATTAGACCAATCTTTAAGACCAAAATCTTTAGATTTCAAATTCATTACAGAAATCAACGAAATTGAAAGTAATGCTGACATGAAAGCATTTCATCATTTTACAAATAAACCCATAACATCAACAATAATTGGAGTAAAAAGGGAACTTAATGAGCTTATAAGAAGAGGAAATGAGCTGCAAAATGAGCTACATGATAAAGAGGTGAAAATAGGGGATCTCAATAACCAGATTGTTTTCTTACAATCAGAATTGTCCAAAACTAGATCTCCTAGACATAATTTATTGGATATTAATAACAGGGATCAAAGATCATTGAGTGCTGAAAACAGATTCAAGCTCCCAAGTTTGTCTCCGGCTGGTACTCCACTGACGAGTCCCTTTGTAACCCCAGATACAAGCCCCGTTCTATCTAGAAGGAAACTAAGCCCAAACAATCACACTCTACCACTCAACAGCCCTCCACCACAATCGATTGGATTAATAGATGTCACTATCAGTCCAAGGTCAGACAGTCATCTTAGAAATAATGACAGCCATTTTGTAACTGAGACCAGTAATATGAGGTCATCAAGACAAAGAACTTTAAGTTTTGACAAATCTGACCGACATAAATCAACAACAAACAACCTCAGTCCACGTCACGTTCCAATGATTTCGAGGAGCCCATCTCCAAGAAGAAAACTGAAAATCAGAGATGGCATGAGCCCAAACTTGTTGATAAATTCACCCCAGCCCAGTCCTAAGGCAAACAGGAAACTCAAAACAGAAGATAATGGCTCTAAATCAATGACTTCTGATGAGAAGGAAACTGCTTCATTGACAAATATTTGTTTTGACTCAGAAAGCGCAAATCACAAATAACTCATGCTGAAAATCATGTACGAAAAATGGATATCACATTGTCTTATAATATACATTTTTAAAGAATGAAAGTATGAAAATCCTGTCAATGAAAGAAAGCTAAAATTACAGAAAGCACTTGAGTCATTTCTATACCTTGACAGGACCACATTGATAAAGCTCAAACCAAAACAGTGAATTTACAAAAAAACTTGTAGCGATATGTGTGTTTATAAAAATAAAATGTTAACAATAGTCACATGTTATTAATCATAACTTAGTTTGTTGACTGTGAACTCAAGGTAACACACTGGATAATGAAGCCATGAACTTTCAATTCAAAGTGTGAGAATATTGACAGAAGTCATCTCAATCCTTAGATAAAAATAACAAAAAATCAAATACTGTACATGTAGGTAATTGAGAATTAAAACTTTTAAAAACCAAAGCTCTCACCCGGGACTGCTCGACTGATTACTTTGCAAAGATGATACAAATAGTCTTGTTATCACTCCTTGCAGTGACAATGGGTAAGGTATTCCTTTAATAAATATGAATAGAAATAAATATAAAATAAATAAATATACTATTATGGTATTCCATTTACTCTATGATGATTTCATGATTTCCTTTCCTAAAAGCATCAGTACAACATTGGCTTTAAATTGTTAAGAACATTAAGAAGATCAAACCTTTTATAGTAGTCACTTTGTATCACTAGTATGACATGCCTTGTTTCAGCTCAAGAATGTCCACAGGATTGTGCAGATTGGTGCACTGAGCTGGATGAGGTTAATGGAGTTACAACTGATTGCATGGCTGCTGACCCAACAGAGGAACAGGCGTGTGACTCCATTACAGGAAGTGAACACACTGGTACATGTATATCTAGTGAAACAGATGAGGATGTTTTCATTTGCTGTGAACTTACTCCATGAATGCTATAAAATGTCAATCATGCTCAAATCTCTCAAGTGCAAGGTAGAATAAAGTATTATAAAATACAAACGAGTGACTGAAATATTATTGTTTATTGTACATTCAGGCTACAATTTAATTTCAAAAATTATGTTTTTAATGCTAGCGAACCCTCTTGAGAAATGAAGCTACATGTAGTTGCAAATATATTTTACTTGGCTCCTGAAGTGAAAACTTTAATTTTGAACTCCAATTTTTCTTATTCTGACACAAAAATATACCAAGGTTTCATGAAATTCAAAATAACCTATAGTTTGCATCTTCTTTCTTCTAACTTTTTTTGTGTTACTACTGTTTGAAAAATGTAATTTAAGAAAACACAATTTAAAAATTAAAGAGGTAAATACACCCCCTAACATTTTTTGTATTGTTGAACAGATGAGTAGGTAACCATTTTCCCATGCCTAGAATTTTTGCATTCAAACAATAATAGGTCTAGTCAGAAAGTGCAACCACAGTTTTGACATTATCATCATGTATCCATGTATAGCGTGGATTAACTTTAGGGGCATCTGTTCTAGGGTCCTGGAACTGGATAACCCATTTTAATGTATCAAGAAGTGTTTGTAGTAGGTCTCCTTGTTTAACATTATTTGGGAAATCCTTATCTAAGAGGTCATTCCACCATGTAGTATTTGTGTTGTGCTTTACATGCCTCTGAATCCATAGCAACAACACAAATTCAAGTAGGTGCTCAGATTCAATGTCCACAACTGTCCTCTTTGGAAAATATATATCTGGGATTTTAACGATTTCTTCCTTTCCCTTTGGGGAATAAGTAACAGTGTCAGCATCATTCTTGGTTGATCTGTTGAAATAAAGTTCAACGATTGTTTCAAAACATATCCCGATGTTTGTACTTTGGCAAGAATGTTGATGATGTAACAAAATCATCTTGTAGACGTATGAAGACAATTCTCTCTGGATGCTGATATCTCCCTCTAGAATATCATATAGCCTCTTATTTAGAAGATATGACAGAAATTTCAATGTCACAAATAATTTCTTATGCATTGTGTCTAGAATGTATAAATGTTGATCAGGTGAAATATCGAAGAATGACTCAGTCCAGTGATCTACAGACCCAGGAGTACTTCTTCCTTTCAGTGTACAATACCCACAACCTCCTCCATTTATACAGTCACCAACCAAAACTCTTCGTTCATCACTTTGATTCTTCTGCTCGATGCAGAAACAAAGATCTATGTCTGTGGTGCATAAAGGGGCCCACATACGTAACATAATACAAGTACCATGTAAAAACTGCTGCATGCTTGTCACTCCTTCATCATATACAGCATTTGGATCTTCCAAAAGTTCTTCTCTGAATTTACTGTGTTGTATAACAAAATCTTTCACAATATGTAGTAGTATCATAAGCACTTTTAAGTCTAACTGACATTCCCCATCTTTATTCTTCCTCCATGATCCTCTAGGAATTTCTTCTTTCAGATTGTCTGGGTTAATGTTGATAAGCTGAAAAAACATATTAGTACATGTAGAAATATTTGAGAAACAGTCAAAATTTTGTGGAAAGCAACAGAATCATTGAAAAGGCTAATTCTTTTTTCTCGAATTTTTAACATCAGCAGTGGTTTCATCAGCATGTTGTCATTCCTTTTGCTTGTTGTCTGTAATTCTAACAGACCCCTGACTTGCCCAGTGACAAGCAACAGAACAATTTATTCCTGACATACTTTTCTTGAAAAGTGTTTCAATGATGTCATCAAGAAAAAAGTTGGTTTACCTTATATCCCCTAGCAGCAAATGAACATTCTTTTGGCGGATCCTTCACATTTACAGCATCATCATAGGAAAGTGCTAAAATTGGCATGAAGTCATACTCATCCGGTGACATCACCTTTGCATTGTCATAGTAACTACCACGTCTTATTATTTCATTTATCCTTAACCCAGGAACTTTTTCTCCAACGAATTTGCATAATGAGCCAACAAAATCTTCAACATATGATGTATGCTCTATTAGCTTTTCCACTGTAAATCGATTCTTAATGTTGGCATTGAATGATATGATGTTCACAAAATCTCGAAGGTGATCATAACCATCTACCTTCCGTACGAGATATGGTCCAATAAAAGATGGAACAGGTATAGCTGTAGAGTCAGCCATTCTAAATATAGTGTCATTTAATCAACAAATCAATATCTTTAATAATAAAACTATTTTCCTTTTTTCTATCAAGTTATAACATGATGTTTAGTTCAAAAATGTTTTCTTCATAATATCAAGTTTCTGGCGTATCTATGTTTTAATGACAAGCAAACCTATTTCTGCACTCGTCATTTCTGCACTCTCTAAGGCGATCATAGCCATCCACCTTCCGTACAAGATATGGTCCAATGAAAGATGGAGAGTCAGCCATCTCAAATATAGTGCCATGTGTTTGACTGTAAAATAACATCCTATAATTAAACCATGTTGCTGGCCTTTAGTTGCTGGATTGTACAGTACACTGATCTCCAAATAAAAAATTAACACTAACATTTTACCATCTGCCTATATAATATCATAAAATGATATCATAAAATCAACAAATAAATATCTTTAATAATTCATTTTGTTTTCCCTTTACTTATTCTCTCGAGTTAGTAGTTCAAAAAATTTTTTTTTGCAAAGTATTAAGTTGAATAGTGAATCTACTTGTGTTGTTGACAAGCATACCTATTTCCTGCAGTCGTCATCTACGTACTCATCATTTATCGCACTTTATTTTATAGACAATCTTGCATTTTGAAACAGTTATTCTAATATATAATCATGATTTCTCATACCCATCTCACTTCTCAGAATTGGCAAAATTACAATTTCCTTTGACTTTGGATCCTTTATACATTTACATTCATAACAGCCTAATTAAAAATGTAAACATGAGGAGCAATCAAAACAACAAGGGGTTGGCCTTATTGGTGTAAACAAGTTAATGAATCAGATATAAGTCAGAAAGACCCAGACTCAAAATGATCCAAGTGAAAGTGATATAATTGCTATAGTAAAAGTCTACATCATAATGGGAAGTCATGGCCTGAAGTAGCCAGAATTTGCCAGGGGGGGGGGGTTCACTTTTTGAAAAATTCCAAGGGGGGTTCACTTGTGACAATTTTGGTCCATAAATGGCCAAAATCACTTAAAAGATGCTCAAAATGGTGCAAAACTGCATGATTTTTGAACCCCCCTGGCTACGGGCCTGCTTCTCTTAGTTTGTTTCTGGAAAGCCTTGAATTAGTGAATCTACCTAAAGACCTACTAAATCAGTAGAATAAAATATAACATTTTGAATAGTTTCAGCATTAAAGACAAATACATGCATGACAACAATCACACTTGTTGTACCCCTTCTATCTAATGATATCAGAACGCAAAATGTAACGCAAAATGTAACGACTAAATCAGAGCTCATTTCTGGTCAAAGATGTGATGAGGATCAGAATGAGTTTACAGTTTCAAAATAAAACATGATGCATTATAAAGATGGCGCATGGAACAGTTGCAAAACATAACATGTTCATTTTTGCAGAATTTGAATGCAGGCATTTTTTGTATATTTTCATATTTTATAACAATAATAAGCAGGTAATTTATAATTTGTGTTTCTTGCTTTACTCAACTCAGATAAATTTTGTTGAGTTGAGTCAATTTATTTACCATGAATTTATTGGCAGATGCTCTCCCTCTATGGACCTGCCCTAAATGATTATTGAGTATTATTTGCAAAGAATGCCAGTTTTCATTTGATATTAATATCCAATATATCCAATGATATGGATAAGTGGTTTTCTCGTTGCATCCACATAACCATCAACACAAGATGACTATGATATACAGTGATCTCCCTAGTATTAAATCTAGTGGGCGCAGCACCCACCTGAGATTTTGAAAATACCCACCTAAAAATCCATTTGCACCCACTTGAAAATGAGAAATCATGAAAAATTGGCATATTTTGACCAATTTTGGTCTAAAATGTGAAGATGAGAATTTTGCACCCACTTGAGAAAAATTCCTGGGGAGATCACTGATATACAGTAGCACTCTATAGATATAACAGTCTGGAACAAAGATACTTTTAGTTCTCTGAGTATATATATATATCTTTTATTGACTCTCTGATGTCATTACAATGACATATTAGTCACTAAAAACTACAATCTACAAAACTGACCTAAGACTAAACTAACTATTGAATACAAAAATAAAGTTGTTGTCAAATACAATTCTAATTACATCATCAAATGTAAAATACAGAATACAAGATAATTGTAAAATACAAATATAACTTGACAGAAATTTAAATATCAGTGTGATGCATCGTTGACACATTAATCCAATTTTTTGAGTGAATGATAGATGAACTTTGCTAAATGTAAAATTACATAAGAATTTTTGTGAGACATTAGTTTTTTAAAAATAATGTCAGGACTGCCTACAAAATTAAATCGTGTAAGGGTGTCAAACAAATTTTTTCTTTCTGTAGTGTTTTTCTTACAAATCATGATGAAGTGTTGTTCATCTTCTAAAATACCACAAATATTACATAAACGTTCATCTACAGGTTTTGGCTTTGGCTTTAAATGACGACCAAGTTCTATATGTAACTTGTGGGAACTAAGCCTAAATCTACAAATTGCTTGCCTGTAATTTTTATTTTGGATATTTAAATAACTCTCTCTTTCAAAGACATTTTTGAATTTAACATAAGTTCTCAAGACAGGGTAATTTAATATATCTTTGTTCCATTGAGTTTTCTGTAACAAGGCATCAGCATGCAAAATGCCACCACCTCCACCTCACCTGCCACACCAAACACCAACTGCAAAATTATGAACACCAAACACTGGCCACAAAAAAGTTTGGGAGACTACATGTATAACAGCATAAAAACCAAATGACTGTGGTTTCATCATTTGAATTGGGATTTGACATTACCTTTTGACAATTTTTCAATGAAAGAAATTATCACTCGTCATATTTCCAGAAGTCATATTTTCATTCACAGAACTTGTTACAATGCTGTCTATATAACAGAGGAAAATCATACATACAATAAACATATAAAAGGGAAATCATACATACAATTAACACATAACAGAGGAAAATCATACATATAAAAACATATAAAAGGGAAAGCATACATACAATTAACATACAGAGGAAAATCATACATACAATAAACATAAAAAAGGGAAATCACACATACAATTAACATATAACAGAAGAAAATCATACATACAATAAACAGTGCCAGGGTGAAAAATCTTAAGAATTCAGAAAACAGCTTGTTATGAACCAGTAACTTGTAGAAAATGATGCCATAAATTATTTACAATATTTCCCCAAAAGAAAACAACTTAAACAACTCAGCCTTTAAGAATGGTAATAGTTTATACAAAATAAACATTTGTTGTTGGACTTCTTAACAGCTATGCTAAGATGAGTCAATACTAAAGATTGACCATTTAACCCTTCTGAGATCTAAATTCTCACCTTCAATAATCTTAATGAAGTTAATTTGTAGATGTGAACGATTCATTGAAGGATGTTTGAGAAATTTTGTGAAAATATAGTTTCGATGGTAGTTCTGCAACTAGTCATCTTGAAAGGTGTTGGTTCAAATGCAATATTATTATGGGGGTATACATTTCTAAAATGTTGTCCTTTGCAATTTCTTATTGTATAAGTCAAGAAAACTTATTCAAATCAATCCAAAAGGGAGACCTTAAAACTGAACTATTTTGTAAGGGAAAAGAATAAATCACTCTGTATAGAAACGCAAGTTAAACAGTTTACACAAATGTTCAGGCTCTGAAACAAGTTTAACCTCAACAGAAACCAATCGATCAAAAACTGATTTAAAGTCATATTGACACCTGAAAGAGAATAACTGTTACAGTATACAGTCTAAATATAAAAGATGCTATAAGCTAGGAATTGTTTATTCAAAATGTCATGAGGAATTATAAAATTAATAATGTTAAGTGTTTAGTATATCACATATAACTTTTGTACAAGATGAAGAAGGAGCAGACATTGTAGGTTGGTATTTTTTATTTTTAAATGAATTTGATTTCTTTATTAATTTATAATGGAAAGCAGTATTACCCACAGGATATTTTATCAATTTCACAATTCAGACCAAAATTGGTCAAATTATGTCTATTTTCCATGATTTTTTTCATGTTCAAGTGGGTGCAAATATATTTTTAGGTGGGTGCAACCTTGTTTTTTTAAAAATCACAGATGGGTGCTGCACCCACTTGCTTTAATGCTGGGGAGATCACTGGAAACAGTATATATTATTGCATGTGTAAATCGCGACTTGAAGCTCTAAAGAAACAACCAATTTTTGCTAACCAATACTGTGACTTCACAAACAGCCAATAGAAATAATTATATACATATACTTTTACTTTCGCAAGCATGTATTGATTATCGATCTACCTTTAAAAATATGATATTAAGAATAATGTGTGACATAATTGCAAGTGATATTTCAATTCATCCAACATACGATATCCTAGTAAATCGTTATATGAGATTTATGTTAAGAAATATATAAATTCTTCAAAAACATACCCTAAATAACCTGAAAAGATATTGACATTTTAGAAAATTCTACAACCAAGTTTGCACTTCCAAATTATTTGAAAAAATGTCTGAGCAACAAGCATGCTTTTTTGCATTTTTTAAAATCTAAGAAAATGGCCTAATTCAAAATTTAAAAAAAGTTGTAACAAAGTTATTTTCATATGTTTTTGATAAACCAGGCACAAAGCCAGCTTTTGTAAATGGGGAGAGGGGTCACATTTAACAACTTTGGCCCAAAACCACTTGAAAAATGCTCAGAATGGTGAAAAACTGCATGATTTTGACCCCCCCCCCCTATGACATCAAATGGCCTCATCTAAACCACCCAACTCATGCATTCAGATTATTTTTTGATATTTATTGCAAATTCAAATTCAAACGCCACAAGATTACATAACTCAAACATAAATTGGGAGTGACAAATAAACGATGTTCAATGTTTTTTATAATCTAAAAAAACTATTTTGAATTCATTAGTGAATCAACAGGTTTGTAAATATCTCCTAATACCCTTTCTCAGCTGTTCTCTACCATTCCCCTCCAATTCACTCCCATTCCCCTCCATTTCACTTCTATTCCCCTCCATTTTCCCATAATTTCTATGGCAGTTCCTGGTATATATAGACTACAATCTTGTAGTTCACTTTTTATCCTTATAGGATTTAAAACGTTATTTCATCAATAAATTTATGTTGGGAATTTGATCTCTGGGCACAGACGAACATCTCTAACACATGTTCCCAATGATAAGGTTGTTTCATTAGGATCAAATCGCTTCTGAATCGATTACTTCAACAAAAATTGAACGCAACTCAATTTCACAGAAAGCCAAAATAAGTTGAATAAGATATGATATGAAATTTTTGATGGAAATTTAATAGTGTGTACTTTTATTGAAACAAAAGGTGAAAATTGTAAAACATGCCAGCGAGCATTACAAATATTGAACACTGCAAAATATTTATCTTGTTTTTATTTAAACTGCTGAAGATTCTAGAAAATAAGTTTTCATTAAAACAGAAATCTGGGAATTGGAATTACATTCATTTTTTTAACAACACAGACATTCAGTCCAATTCAATTCAATTTGGATTGTTGATTCAAATCAGGTAAGAGGGTAGTTGTTTTTGGACAACACGTTAGATATTTAGATGAATGAATGGCGTCTTGGTTCAAAAGTGTCAATAAAGCTCACTTTTAAAGAACCAAAATTAAACCAAAGAAAGGGAAGATTAAATGTAATTTTTAAAAATGTAATTGTCTAAAATGAGTAATCTTCATAACAGTGAAAGAAGATGTGCTGTACAAAATTTAGTTTTTTTTAAAGTGGCTCATACCCCCTGAAACCTTAACTACTTGGAAACAAGATTTATGTTTAGCCCACCCACCCGCAGTCCCATCAGCAAATAACGATGACATAGCTTTATTTCAAAGTGTGATAAAAAGCATGAAGAATTGGAATATTTTCATAAACGACAGTTCTCGGTTTGGAGAACAGTCTCCTGGGCTAATAATTTTTTTCATAAAAAATATAGAAATATTACCCAAATTAAACTATGAATATTCAAAAGAGGACATTTAAATCTACAAGATGTAAAAATAACAAATTGGTCTGAAGCAGGGATAACGCTCAATTAGACCGATTCAATAAAATACAACGTCTCGATTTGGGGAAAGAAGTTCATCAGTGTACTGCGCTAATATTTTTTGCGAAAAATCTAGAAATATTACCCAAATTAAATTATGACTATTCAAAAGAAGACATTCAAATCTATATTATGTAAAAAAAATCATATTTGTCCGAAGCAGGGATAATGCTCATTCAGATTGATGAACTTCGTTCTCCAAACCGAGAATCGCCCTTTTCACAAAAATTGAGACTTTTGTGATGAGAGAAAATCCTCGAAATAAAACTGTTAGATGTATTTCAAGTGCCGTAACACATGAATGAGGCGGCGAGGCATCATTGAAAATCTGAAGTGAAACCACACAGAGAGTATTGACTGATTTAATGAGAGATATTTGAGACATCCTTAGATGTTTTCTTTAGTTACTCAATGAGTATGTAATGTGAATTAACTTCAAAAGATACCTTTCTGGTTCTTGATGTTCTCTATTGCCATGACTAATTACATATCTGATTCCTTTATTCCTTGCTGATTCCACTCTATGCTGTTTTCCATTTTAAAACCAAGGATTGAAATAAACTGCATTTTAGGAACTTTTTCCAGTTCTCTTCATTCCTTTCTGATTCCATTATTTTTTACTTCATTATATATTTCAAAACTTCAGATAAACTCAGAAAGTTTACTTTATTCCTTGCCAATTTTACTCTTTTTACTTCATTTTGTATTTTACAACTCAGATAAACTACAATTTAAAAACTCTTCCCAGGTTAATTATTGCTTATTCCAGTTTTCAAATTGCTTATTCCAATTTTCAAATTGCTTATTCCAATTTTCAAATTGCTTATTCCAATTTTCAAATTTCTTATTCCAATTTTCAAATTGCTTATTCCCACTTTCAACCACATCTTAAAACATAATAAATTGAATATTAAGCTTCATTACTTTTTCAAAATAAAAAGAGTAATACTTCAATAAAGGTTAGATTGAATATTTTTCATCAAGTTTCATATAGGGTTATTCCAGTTGAGTTTAAAATACCATGCATATAGACAGATTTAGCAAAACAGTCCCAAAAATCACTTACAGCTGATAATGTCTCTTAAAAATTTATGTCATAAAGTGCCAATATTAATCTAATTCCTTATAACAATGGTGAAAGCTCAATTCTATTTACTTAATTTCAATTACAACACAAGAAGCATGGTCCAAGATTCCGATGTAGGGATTGAACAATAAAATAATATGTACCCTCAATTATTTGGTCAAGTCTATTTGTCAATATAACATGATTAAACAAATTGAGAAAGAATACAGTACAAGCCCAGGACAATAATTCTTTTTTCACGCTATAATATCAGTGGGGGGCTAAATATACACTGACACCAGGCCCGTCTCACACTTACAAAATAAAACTTATTTTTGATCAATAACAAAATGTATTTTTTGCACATTTCAAATATTGGATTAATTCTCCCATTACAAAAAGTTGAAATTGTAAATTTTTTAAGAATTGATTTAGTTTTATTTACATTGTGTTTTTTCTTTGAATTTTTAAATTTGATACGTTTTTCATTTGAAAAACAAAACAGTGTCAAGGCATGGTTCAAATGAGTCATTGCATCAAGTGGTGGTTTCTGATATAAGGAGGTGATTTCTGACACAAAGGGGTTATTTCTGACACCAGGGGGTTATTTCTGACACAAGAGGGTTATTTATGACACCAGGGGGTTATTTCTGACACCAGGGGTCATTTCTGACACCAGATGGTTATTTCTGATTGAGGAGGTCATTTCTGATACCAGAGGGTTATTTCTGACACCAGGGGGTTCTTTCTGACACCAGGGGATTATTTCTGACACCAGGGGGTTATTTCTGACACCAAGGGGCTATTTCTGACACCAAAGGGTTATTTCTGACATTCGGAGTCATTTCCGACATAGGGGAAAGATTTCTAATGCAAGAATATATATAAGTGAAACAAAATCCTCGCCATAACTAGCAGGCCATCAAAGATTAGGCAATTTTTCTGAATTCTGCTCTGGGGGTTAAAACAGAAGATTAAACTCAAAGATAACAGCATATCCCAAGAGCCAGTTGCTGTTATCCGATGCTAAAACTTTTGATCAACAGGTCGATATGTCAGGCCACCAGAGCTAGAAATATTTTTCTTTGAATTCAGAATTCACAGAAAATGAATACAAGATCATTTGACTCTTTTCAACAAGATGAATGAAAAAAACACTGCTTCTGCTCAAAGTCATTTTGGTTGTTTTTTGGCTTAATTAGCATAATATACACATCAATTGCCTACAGCCAGGAGAGAAGATGGTCAAGGGTGTCAGTCAAATTGATAACTTTAGGGACTATTTCCAAGCCTGACATGGCTGAATTCCCTGAAAAAATATTTTTCTCTGGGGGCCTCAATCTTATATCGACTTTTGATCAACATTTGATCCTCATCTGTTCACAAAGTTAAACAAACTGTTTATTTAAATGAAAATATTCAAACAAGTTAATCAAATCAATTATGTATCTTGTAATTTTTTAATATTTTTTAATGGTACAATCAATATACTGAAATAATCTTGGTGTTTCCAAAACAAAACATTTGCAGAATTGTATAGCCATATTTTCCCAAACTTGCCTTTTATAACAAAGCATTGACGGATCCATGGGGCCTGCCCCCCCCCTAAGGTGAGCAAAGAAAAATTTGTAGACCCCCTTATTATAAAAATGAGCCTTAAATTTTCAAAATTTGGGCCCAATTTTGGGCAGAAAGTTTTTTCCTGACTTGAAATGTGGACCCCCTCCTTGTTAGCA